TTCTTCTCTCCCGACTGGCTTCAGTAAGACTTTGGCTACGTTATATGGTTCGTTGATCTGATTAGTTGAAGTTTGCCTGTGATAGACAGATGCTTCATCCAATCATCTGCCAAGTATTTTTTGCGTCTGCCCTCTTTCCAAACAGCTTCCAACGACATCTTCCCAGATGGTTCTGTGTAACAAACCATCTGGTGCAGTCTGGTTAGTTAATTTCATGTTTGGGGTCGAATGTCTGATAATTGGTGTCTATGCTTTCCAAAGTTCTATCCTTAATTTAGCTTGGGCTTCAGACTTCTCCATAATGAATAAATCACACACCTCGATGAGAATATTGCATAAAATACACACCACATTGTGTTATTTTTTTCTCCTACAGGTTGCATCCATACAGGTATCGTAACTGAATCAGAATCAGAATCAGAATCAGATTTATCAGTATAATGATGGATCCATATATAAAGCACACAGAAACAAACGTCCTGTTTGAACTAGGAATCATTACAGCAGTTATTGATTCCTAGTGGCCCTCAGCAAAACTTTCAAGGCAAGCAAAAGCACAGAAAACACAAGGAGAGTGGCCACGTCTTACCTGCTGTTCCAGCTGTTAAAGTGGTGTGATGTCAACTGGTTAGACTGGTATGAAAGCGAATTATTGTTCTGTTTCTGTCCCTATAGCACGGTGGTTCTCTTCTCCCTTATATTATTTCTGTCTTTCCCCTTTATAGCCCCCCCATCTCTCTCTCTCTCTCTCTCTCTCTCTCTCTCTCTCTCTCTCTCTCTCTCTCTCTCTCATGCACACATCTCAGTGCCAGCGGGGTGCTTATTGAGTGTGTGTGGGCAGCAGCCAATCAGAAAACAGCAGCTTTAGCGACATTTGCGACGCACACATGTTCAGCCTCACACTCTCACACTTATTATAGGACGGATACAGGCATTCACAATACTCTCTCTCTCTCTCTCACACACACACACACACACACACACACACACACACACACACACAGAGAGGAGAGGAGCACATCTGTCATCTCCGAGCGTCTTATCCAACCTTTCAGGATTAGTGCGTTTTTTATTTTTTTTACGTTGAAACTTGATAATCTCCTACACGCACTCATTGTATGTCTGTGGTCGTCATTGGCTGTGATTTTGTGTTTGATGTCTTTGCAGCATAACGGTCCTTGTGTTTCATACGGGGCAGGGAAAAGCTGCGGTTTGTAAAATCATACTGATTTACATGCAATGTTGTGTGGGGGTAAGACTGTTATGTAATATACTGATGTATAATGTGATGGCACACCGGTGTAGTATTTTTACTCCGAGCAGTTATGGATAACAAGACAACACTGAACAACATAAGCCTTGGGACATTACATGAAATTATTAGTCATATAATATATTAAAAAGGAAACAAATACATTATTATTATAATACATTTTCTCTGAATGCTGGGCTACTTGTGGTTCCTATAGTCTCTAAAAGTAGAACAGGAGCCAGAGCCTTCAGTTACCAAGCTCCTCTCCTGTGGAACCAGCTTCCAGTTGTGGTTCAGGGAGGCAGACACCCTCACCACATTCAAGAGTAGGCTTAAGACATTCCTCTTTGATAAAGCTTATAGTTAGGGCTGGATCAGGTGAGTCCTGAACCATCCCTTAGTTATGCTGCTATAGGCCTAGACTATCGGGGGATTTCCCATGGTGCACTGAGCTCCTCTCTTCCTCTCTCTTTCTGCACTCATTCATGTCCCATTAATGCATGTTACTAACTTCACTTCTTCCCCAGAGTTCTTGTGCTTTCTCGTCTCGCAGGTTCTCGTTGATCCTGGTGGAGCCTCCTGCCATGGTCCTGCTTGACTGCCATTGCCAATATCACTGATATTAGTGTTATTATTATTATAAGTATTATTATTGCTATGGTTACTGTTGTTGCTGTTGTCACTGCTCATTGTCCCCCATCGTTGCTGTTGTCATGTTCATCATCATCAGTCACTACTATTAGTGTAGTTGTTGCTACTGTTGTTGCTGTGCACCTGTCTATCTGTCTGTTTCTCTGTCTCTCTCTCTCTCTGTCTCTCTCTGTCTCTCCCTCTCTCACCCCACCTAGAGCCGAAGGGTCTGTCCTAGGTTTCTGCCTTTTAACAGGCAGTTTTTCCTTGCCCCCGTCTCCAAGGTCTTGCTCATGGTGGTACTGTTGGGTCTCTGTAAATAATGTTATAAGGAGTTCGGTATACACCTGCTCTATTTGAAAAGTGTCCTGAGATAACTTCTGTTATGAATTGGCGCTATACAAATAAAATTGAAAATTGAATTAACATGTAGGTTATGTAAGAGTCTAAATAAATCTTTTTTCATGGCAGGAAGTAGAAAAGCAGGCTTTCATAAGAAAGTGAACATGATATATGATGCTACATGAATAAAACAAAAAGGTTTGAGCAAATATTTTGTTTCCAAGGTGTGACCTTTAATAGTGAGTGGGACTGGGCTAATTTATGTAGTTGTCATGGAAATATGAAAGGGACCATACAGCCTACTTGGTGGTCATTCTGACCTGTGCATCACTCTGGACCAACACCATGTTGGAGGGAGACAGGTGGTCCGACAGAAGCTGTTATCACTCACTTTTTGTCAACAAAATCGGAGCCCAAGAACGGCCAGGTTTGCAGTTATTTAAAAATGCTGTTAACTCAAGATCAAGAGTTAATATATCTTGTTATCTTGAGAAAACAAAAGGCCAATTTCTCAAGATAAGGAGATTGTTTTTCATGAGAAAACAACTTTGTTTAGAGATAAAAAGATAAGTTATCACAAGGGAACAACTTTTCTGACAGGACAGGACAGCTCAAGCGTGACAGGAAAGGGGCAGGAGTGAGGGGATGACACACAGCAAAGGGCCACAGGTTGGACCCAAACTCATGGCCACTGCAGTCAGGACTCACCCGGGTACATAGGCCAGCTCTGCCAAGTGAGCTACCAAGGCGCCCCAGCTTAATTAAAACCTAAATTAAAAAAATGAATTTCTGTTTGAACCTTAAATTCTCCAAGCCAAAGCAGAGATGACCCTGATGGCCAAAAGACATGATACAACTGTTTTCACCAGCTTACCAGTACTGCTCATGGTAAATTCACGTGTACATGTCAAGTTGGTGGTGCCTTTCATCATCACTTTCAAAGGTTCAGCATCATGTACTGTCATGAGGTTAAAAGTAATGTAGAATTGTAATGTAATTTTGATGTACTGTTTTGATATGATTTGTTGCTACATGTCATATTTCATGTAAGCTGAACAATCAACCACCAAAGTGTATTATTTTCTTTTAACAGGTCACTGCTCAAGATTCACAATTTCACATATTTATATTTACATCATATTTGGTGTGCTGTGATTTAGGTCCATGTTGACAAATGTATAAGTATGTGGCAATGTTCTTTTTCCTTCTGAATTATATATGTTACATATAATCTTTAATGGCTTTTGTTCACATTCAATCTGAATTCAAAATAGTCCCATATGAAGTGGAGCACTAACACATTGCGAAAATGTCTTGTTGTTAGCTACAAAGTAGGAGGTTGTGTATTTGTTAACAGTTCAACCATTTCAGGGGTGCAGAACAAATAAAATAAAGATTATACAATATAATATAATTAATATTTACTGTGCAAAAAAAGGTCAAATAATAGTTTTAGATATTTCCTTCCAGTTCAACTTTCTGTATTTTAGTTAAGGCTCAGCTGTATTTACAGTTATTAAGACAATCAATGCATAGTTCAATATTATTTTTTTTATGTTGTGTTTGTTGTTATTACACTAATTTTGAATATTAATAATAATAATAATTAACATTAAGTAACTTAAGGAAAGATTATGTGGCCCAAACTTTTTGTTTTCATCCATTTTTTAGTCATAAACTATGGTGGCCGACAAGGGCAAACGCGCTGCAAACGGCAAAACGCTTCAAACACAGGAATGATGCAAATCCAAAAACACACAAACACATAAAACAAATGCAACAGAAAAACGCAGCAACAGAAAATGCTGCAATCACAGAAAGGAAGCAGAAGCACAAACTTAAAAACCCACAAAACAAATGCAACAGAAAAATGCTGCAAATTTCAAAAACACCAAAACAACTGCAAGACATAAACGCTGCAAATTCGCTCGACAAAACGGAAGTGCGCCAGGCCACTAGGGGGACCCGACCTGAGGGATGGACCAGTCCTCTGGGACCAGACCTGTAAGACCTGAAGAAGAAGAAGAAGAAGAAGAAGAAGAAGAAGAAGAAAAAGAAGAAGAAGAAGAAGAAAAGAAAGAAGAAGTAGAAGAAGTAAGAGAGTAAAAAGGTATGTTTTCCTTTATGTCTTTTTAAACACTTGGACGTAATCTTTTATATTATTATAATATTATATCATCCACCATATTAAATCATATTAAATAGTATTAAATATTTAATACTATTTAATATGATTTAATACTATAGAAGAATATTATAATTATTATAATATTCTTCTATAATAATTATATTATTATAAATATATAATATAATCATTATAGGATTATAAAAATATTATATAATTATTATAGGATTATAAAAAATATATATATTATATTATAATATTAAATATTTAATACTATTTAATATGATTTAATATGGTGGATGATATAATATTATAATAATATAAAAGATTACGGCCAAGTGTTTAAAAAAGACATAAAGGAAAACATACCTTTTTACTCTCCTCTCCAAAACTTAGCCAACTTTCTTCTTTTTCTTCTTCTTCTTCTTCTTCTTCTTCTTCTTCTTCTTCAGGTCTTACAGGTCTGGTCCCAGAGGACTGGTCCATCCCTCAGGTCGGGTCCCCCTAGTGGCCTGGCGCACTTCCGTTTTGTCGAGCGAATTTGCAGCGTTTATATCTTGCAGTTGTTTTGGTGTTTTTGAAATTTGCAGCATTTTTCTGTTGCATTTGTTTTTGGTTTATTTTTGGCGTTTCTGTTGCATTTGTTTTATGTGTTTGAAGTGTTTTGCCGTTTGCGGCGAGTTTGCCCTTGTAGGCCACCGTAATAAACACAGGAGAGGAAACAATTTACTTAGATTTCTCTTAGGCCTTAATACAGATATTAAATAAATAATTAAATGATTGTGTGGTTGACATAATAAAGTTAAGTTCCTCCTTCTTTATGTTATCTGGCTTTGCTGGACTTGGAATGTTACTGGTATTCCAAGCTTTGCATAAAATCAAATCAACCTTTAAAATAGCTGTCAATCATGGTTGTGAAAGTTATTTAAATGTTTTGCCATCAAATGTCAAATTTCAGCAATAGAAGACAACAAGGCCATTAGGAGACCAGCGTTTCCGAGAGCCAACACAGCCAAGATGAGAGACTTTATGAAGGACCCCTGAAACAGAAAGTATGGTACAAGTTAGAAAATATCTCACGTGTCCTCATAGTCCTCATTCAGGCAAAAAGTGTTCTCACTAGGCCTAGTCTCCCTAGACTTGTGTGACCGTGGGGTAGAAACATATTACAGGATACATTTCACATCAACCAGTGGCAATGTAATTATATATCATCACAATTAGTTTTTCGATTTTTAGATGTGTAGGTTTTTTTTAACGCAACAGGGAGGACGCGGAGGGGAGACAGGTTGTAGGTTAAAACTGCTTAAATAAAATTAAAATTTTGATAACGGTGTTGGTAAACCTGGTGAGCTGTTGATATCAGCAAGAGCACTGTTATATGCCTTATTGCATATTTAGTGCACGGCTCTAGCAAGAAAGGCACAGGTGTAAAGAATCACTAAACATCCATTTAGGTGTGTCAGTGAGTAATGTAAGTGGCCCAGCTCAGCCCTGGCACAGGAAGTGAATGTAGATGATTAATGTTATATACAGATAGAGCACTGCATTAACCTAGGGGAACTGTTTGTTTGCAGCTGATACCTACCCAGTGACGATGCTCTGATTGGTCAGAGAGGATTCCCTGGGTGTCATCTGACTCCTGTGCTGCTGGTCAAACAAACAACAGTTAGATAGGTACCTATAGAGATAAGTATGGGGAGTCACTCAACAGCGCTCTCAGTACTCATGTCATGAAGAATAATTTCTTGTCATCATATTTCAACTAGCTGTCTAGTCGTAAAACTCTAAAGCTTTCATACACTTTTTGATGTAAAGGTGCTTGTGCATCAGGAGGAAGATCCTAAATGAGGCCAGCCACATCACATAGCCAATCAGAACATGTGTTGCCCACGGCTGGGGGAGGAGCAGTGATGATTGACGCATCCCCAGGAACATGGCTGCCACTGTAGTAACATAGAGACAAGATGAAACTTTCGTTAACCAATACTTTTTATGAAAAAGGAAAAAAACAGCTATATTTTCCATGCTATATCTATCCAGACTGTATGGTTTCCCCCACCAATTGACCCCTTTTTGCTCTGTTCTCCAATAACAGTTGAGCAAGCCTTGATCAAAACTTCAGTCAACTTTTACTGTACTGGTTAAAAGATTTTGATACACACACACACACACACACACACACATATATATATATATGACGTCATGAAAGGTTCACACTTGTTTGTTACAGAACAAGACACTACCTAACTAGCTAGCTAGTTACATCTGAAAGCTAATAACAGCAAAATACTATCTAACTGGCTAATTTACGTCAATCGTTAGATAGGCAGCATTTTAACAATAGCTAACTTAAGATGTGATGAATATGTCGAGAAAGTGTTCGGACTCAACTGTAATTGGAGCACAGCCAAAAAAGGGGAAGGGCTTAGGAAGGCTTAACTGGACATACAAAGATAACATTTGCAACAGAGGATTTATCCAATAAGTTCCTAATTTTTGTTGGGTTTACATTTTTAAAAGTCGTTTGTCAGATCTGTTTAAAAGTTGAATGCAGACAAACCTGCCATGATCTCAGTCAAAGACCCAACTCCCCAGTGGGCCCAGTTAAAGACATATCTCCTGGACAGAGATACAAATAATACCAATGTATTGATATACTGTATACTGTAATAATAAACATTGTAGTGGCATCTGCATCAAAATATATAGTAGCGTTTACCTGTGTGAGTCAGGTGATGGCCTGATCACAGCCATTATTGGTTGAATCAGAGATAATGCCAAGACACAGCAGCCTAGGTATGGATGGACACCTGCATGCTGCGCCGCACACACAACGCACACACACACACACACACACACACACACACACACACACACACACAAATAGTTGTGCAGTAACTGATCCAACATCCCTCTTGACTGAATGAATGAATTCGACAACCAGACAGTATATTTTTTGTTACAGTTTATGGATTTGTCGCACTGTTGTAAATGGACATGTACAATAATAAAAAATACACACATAAAAAAGTAAGTAATTACTGAAAATTAAATTGGAATTATGAGAATATCATGTCCAGATGGGTAATTTATTCTCTTTACCATCATTTTAACAACAGGGAGAATGCAAAGTAACTTGAAACATTGTGAGTCACTGGTACTTCATGCTCTGAATAGTCCATTTGGTGCCCATAGGCATCTGTGTATGTGTGTACTGTACCTTGCTCCAACCTTTCCTGTAGAAAAATGGGAGGCAAAAGGCTACAACGGTCAGAGTCACAGTTAGCAGCATCAGGACTCGATGAACCTATACACACAAAAAAAAATGTCACTGCTGTGATGTTGAAAGGTATGTTGATATGGACTTATGGTATTACTAATGTTTACACACTCACATTATGGGGACCAGCCTACCTTTTGGGGACAAAATGCAAGTCTCCATTTTACATACATTTTAGGGGGAAGCTAGGGTTAAAGCAAGGGTCAGTGTTGGGTGTAATCACATTGCATTTGTCTGTACCACAATGAACCGTTTCCAGACAATATCCATAACATTTAACACAGCGACGCCATCTAGTGCACCTGTGGAGAGGCTCTTCAGCCTGGGCAGTCCTGTACTGACTCCGAGGAGGAATGGTCTGACAAACCGTTTGAGAGACTCCTCCTCACACAGTGAGTGTGTTTAACTCGTTTAATGCAGTTCATGTTATGTGATCTAAGGTGAGGTTGTGGACATCAGGGACACATTTCAGACTAAAGACCTGTTAATTGAGGGACAAACTGGGGACAAAAGTCATGTCCCTAATGTAATAACCAAAAGTGACATAAGTAAACATTTGTGTGCATAATATCTACCTGGAACCAGACTTTCTGGCCAAGCAGAGTTTGATTTGGCCAATCAGGTTTGTAGAAGCTGGCGATGAAGGTACCAACACTTCCTGTTAGCATCCAGGCTAACAGCATTAGTGCACCATGAATTTTCATAATAATGGGACCCCGGGAGCTTCTTAGGACCTCAGGGGTTCCAGTGATGTTTTTTCTCTTGGTGGAGATTAGTGGCTGGTGACTATGTCTCCATATATTACCTAGAGACACAAAAATAATGCATGTTTAAATTTGAATAATTACTGTACATGTCAGAAAACTGGCTACTACGACTACTACCCCAGATGTATTCAAGAGGAACATAAAAGTCTTCCGTGTTACTGATTAACAGTCATTCTAGGAATGCCAGACCTTCAGACGAAGCTGACAGTACTGACGCTCTGAACAAACGCATAAAACCAATCCTTATTCATCAGATGTGTGTTAAATATGGTTAAACACTGCAAACTCATGTCACAGAGTCAGATCATTTCAATATTGCAAGGCCAATTGACCATTGGTCATTAACCAGAATGTAAAAACAAAAACAACAGTGATCAACATTTCCTGTTAATGACCTTAATGATCCTGGAATCTTGGAATGGGTAATTCCAAGATTTGATGCACATCAAACTGTCATGTGACATAATAAAGCTTGACAGATTGATAAGAATTTAATTGGCCTTTTAGACACAGGAAGATTACCAGGGTCAATGGGTTCAATTTCCAAGGCGTGTGTGCATACACTCTCACCATGCTGAGCATATCCATTAGCTAGAAACAGAAAGTACTCCTGGTCCAGATCGTAGCGGGCTGGGTCTTGATTGCTCAGTTTGATTGGTCTACTGAACCTGCACTGGATCATTCCATCTGCCAGCCGCCATGACACTGAGGAGAGACCAGACTGCAAACACACACAGAAAGAACAAACAATTTGGTGGTTTATGGCTTAAAATGTAAAATATGTTTATTTGCACTCTTTGTGAAAAGATAGATATTAATCTCCTTGGTGTGCCTTAAGTACAGAGTTGGACTCACTCATGTGGTTAGCTTAGCCTGGCATAATTACTGGAAGCAAGAGGAAAAAGATAGCCTTGCTTGGGGATAGCCTGTGCAGTGTCTCTGGCTGTGGTTGCCATACAGTTAATAAGCACTGGATTTGGTCGGTGCAGGCACGATGGTACCAAACTTGGCATCCTCACAAGAAGTCTCCAGGACGCAATATTGCATCCTTTTTTTCCAGGATGGCAAAAACGGTACAGAGTGTATGTGTGTAAGTCTATTTTTCATTTTGCTTTTTAGTGATATCAACTGTAGTATTTCTGTTTGCCGCTCCTGTACATTCCGTTTATATTGCTATGGATTCATTCAGAGAAAGTGTGTGTCACCTGTGACTGGTCCTCAGGATGTGTCCGTCCACTGACGAAGGCAGCCCTCACTGATACTCTGTGCCCCTCTTTTACACACATATACACATCGTCATTGCCCTACACACACACACATACACATCCATAAGCACAGAATACATGCAGTATATACAGTGATATTTAGGTTAATAGAGGTACAACATGTTGGTAATTGGATCATGAAAGAAGAACTCTGCAGCACACTGAGACTTGAGCAAAATTGGAATATCAACTGGCTCTATATCTGCTGTACAAATTCTTGTAGCACACTGAGGTACTCGCTTACCATCCATGTGTCCCAGGACAGTGCAAAGGCAATGTATCCCTCCACTGGGCCACTCAGCTCAAATATCACAGACTGCAGAAAAGAGTGATAAAAACGTTATATAATAATAATAAATGTTTTTCAGTCTTATTGAATATATCATCTAATGCTCTAATTCAGATAGTCGAGTGTGCATGTACTGTAGCTATGAACGATGTCAGGCCTTAAACAAGATGGTAAGAGAAACGTACATTTTCCTTCATGAATTATTGGATGTATTCTGTCAATATTTACTATAGTATTCCTCATTTTTTGTCATATTTTGAAGTGGAAGGACACAGCTGCAGTATTTGACGACTTGGGAGTGAGATGGGGTTGTCCAAACAGAATAAAACTATATGTTACTAGCAACATAAATTACAGTTTCTTATTTTGGGCTGCAAGGCAATGTAGCAGATTATACCCTGGTGACAAACAAATGTCTCAGTTTTAATGTAGGACCTTTAATAGTATTAATTGCACCACTAAATGAAACGGATAAAAGTCAAACCGTATTTCCAGGCCCCTCTGTAGCCATAGACAGGAAGAAGCAGTGAGGATCTTCCTTTGGATCACAACCTGAAGGATCTAGCAGGCAGGATTTTGATTGGCCACATCCTTCAGAAGTAAACTAAAGGTGTAAGATGAGAGGGGGAGTTATTGATTACTGCGTATTCAGATAGGGAATCAATGTCACAATCAGTAATCCAAATGTTGTAACACTCACAGGCCCAGGCAGGTCGGAGGGTGTGGTCGTTGGCACTGGATGAGGTGTAGTGTCTGACTGAGGTGGGTGGGGAGTAACCCCATTCTGATAGATGATTGGTCCAGGCAGCTTCACCCAAAACTTGTTGTAGTGCGCAACTACAGTCACACTGGAATATCCATAGATACACATGTATTATAACAGGCATATTTTTTTATAAAGTAATATTGCTATCACAGCCTCTCTGTGGTTTGTTTCTATAGCCGGTGTACTATGTGTGCAGCTGAGTAGAGCGACCGAAACATTTATGACATAATTTATGTCGGTGAATTAAGGATTTATTCTAACCAAACAGAGTTGGATTGTTGGAACAGTGGGAAGACTAGAATCAGAATCAGAAATACTTTAATAATCCCAGGGGGAAATTACTTTTGTTACATATACTCCATATGTAATTGAAAAAACAGAATAGGACATACAATATATTAAGAATATTAAGAATATGAATTAAGAATATATTAAGAATTAAGAATATAAAAGGTTTAAAATGTACAGTTTAAAGTCACACTTTCAAATGTGCAAAAATGGCAAGTGTAAAGTGACTATGTGTACAGTAACTATGTGTAAGACTATGTATTATGGAGAGGGGGGGTCTGACTCTCAGAGGGAGGCGTTGTAGAGTTTAATGACCACAGGCAGGAATGATTTCCTGTGGCGCTCTGTGGTGCATCTGGGTGAGAGGGGTCTTCTGCTGAAGGTGCTCCTCTGCTGAGCCAGTGTGTCGTAGAGAGGGTGTGAGACATTGTCCAAGATGGACTGAAGCCTGGACAGCATCCTCCTCTCTGCTACGGTCGTCAGAGTGTCCAGCTCCTCCCCACGACATCACCGGCCCTCCTGATCCGTTTGTTAAGTCTGTTGGTGTCTGCGACCTCCTCAGCATCGTCCGGCAGATGTTAAAGGACCTCAGCCTCCTCAGGAAAAAGAGGAAAGAGCTTTGGCCCTTCTTGTAGACCGCCTCAGTATTTCTGGTCCAGTCCAACTTGTTATTAAAGTACACCCCCAGGTACTTATACTCCTCCACAGTGTCCACAGGGACCCCCTGGATGGAAACAGGGGTCACTGGTGTTTTCGCCCTCCTCAGATCCACTATGAGCTCCTTCATCTTCGTCAGTCTAACAAAGACTGTTAGTTTTATTTTGTTGTCCACTTTGAATTTTTCAATCACAAATTCAAAAATCACAAAAGTCCAAGTTACTATTTTTCTCTATGGAGTCTGTTTCTGGTTTAACAAAAGGTCTATCTCTGTGGGGATCCTTTCCTTAATGTTGTCTAAACACTTTTAGTGAACGTATTGTGAAGGGTGCATTTGTCCCCAAGGATTAGCTAATGCTACATGACCTGTTTCACAGCTATTTTCCCATCTAACTCTGTGAGTTAAGGGTTTATTTTGACTAAACCAGAGTTTGTAATTGTTGGAAAAACTGTGGAAAGACTAACAAAGTGAATTTAATTTTGTTTTGTCTGGTCTGCTGTAGCGGCCATTGTTTTGGTGCAACATCTAGTGTCAACTGAATGTTGTATGTATAACCTTTAATGCTCTGTAACTGTCAGTTTGCTGACTTTTTTACGCTTGTGGTATATCCAGTTATATAGTAATTATTTCTTGTGAGTGACCACAGTGGCCCCTGTTAAACGTTTCATAGGCTAGCTTTAAATTAGCTATTATAAAGACGGAACTCACAAAAACTGAACCTGTCTGGGAGCATCTGTAGGAGCATTCCAGATGACAACAACCTCTGTCTGTCTGGCATCACTCTTATGGCTCACTGCTGAACCCTGGACACACACACACACACACACACACACACACACACACACACACACACACACACACACACACACACACACACACACACAATCCAATCGGAGTGTTACCTTTCTGGGTTTTATGTCCAGTAAATGTTTTACTTTTTGATATTTGTTACTTTTTGTTTTTAAACTTCATAGTACTTCTACTTCTACTTCTACACTACTAGTACTCATTTTGTGTTGTTGTGTGCATGTGTGTGTATGTACACCTGGTGCTTATTACAGGTGAGCAGCTGTGTCCTCATCGGATTGGTCAGGGTGAAGGTGCCAACCGTGGATGCTGTGGCATGAGTGGCTGCATCTCTGGCCTCAAGCAGGAAACCCTCGAAATACGTTGTTCCAGATAGGATGACTGGAAAAGTTTCAAAAAGTAAAAAGAAAATTAAAGAAAATTATATTGAGGTGAACAATCATTTCTATTCACTTACAAAGCTCAGTCAGTACACTGAAACCTGTTTCAATCTGAGTCTGCTAATAGTAGTGACATTGACAGACTGGATTGTGTTTTATGGTGGATTTGAGATTGATTGGATATAAATTTGCACATTATATCTTTCACATTAGGAGCTTAATCAGCACTGGGTTTCATTGATATGCAGGTATTGGCAGTGTTGTGTTACCTTGGATCCGATCTGTGGGACTGAACGTGGTTGTGTTGGTTTCTAGGCGGTAGGGACTGTGAGTGGTCTGACCAGAGGCACCATGATGGGGTTCCATGCTGCCACAGGCTTTGGAGACCTTGCCGTTGGCATAGCACCCTGCTGGTACCCAGTAACACACTGAGACGGAGATAAAGAGAAGACAATACACACCCACGGGAGACATCTACAGGGTAAAGTGTATGTGTAATGTAATGTGTCCACGAAGTCTGAAATGAAACACATTCCACCGAAGAATGAATTCAACATGACCATGAGCAAGACCTACAAACTACAGAACTGACCATACTGAGAGGAGAAATCCTGACTAATAACACGATAATGATGTCTGCCCCATTAAGCAATGTCAGCATACACAACAGGCACTAGCACACATTAATATAATGAATTTGAATGCAATTAATGTTATTTATTATGTTTGATAAACAGGTCAGAATGTCTGCTATGAGATCTATTATGAAGAGTCTAATCAAAAACAAATATACCTCTATGAGAAATGTGCTTATGACTCCAGTTGTAAAGTGTGAATTTTGAGGCCACCTCATTATCCGTCTTCCAGAGGCTGTTTTAAAGCTAGAGTGAAGATACTGGTATCATATAAAATGAGATGGCCTAACGCATCCATTGTTACCATTGTAACCATGCTGTGCTAGCGTGATGGGAGGGGACCTAAATACAGCTCCAAAGTTAGGCTACATTTTGACCTCAAGATCTGTGAATGAATTGGTTCTATGGGTACCCACAAATCCCACTTTTCCAGACATGCCCACTTTATGCTAATCCCATGCAGTTTTTGTACAAAAATCATGCAGTTTTTTGCATGTGGTATTAATGTGTTATTTCTGCATAGTGTATTTGAATATTTCTGCACATTGGGATCTATAAACAGTGTTGGAATTGCTGAGACACATAATTAAAAGGTTGTTAGCTACATAGCCTGTGACACAGTAAAATTAGCTACATTAAGCTAACTTTCTAGTTACAGTAAATGGTGTCACTGCAGGGCTAGTGATGCCATTGTGACAACATAACATGAATGTGGAACACTACAATGAGCGTAAATTGTCTTCTTAGCAATGGAGTGAGCTGGGGAAGAGATGTTGCCCTGGTGAGTTTGGCTTTAATTGTACAAAGTTCTCACACAATGCTGTTTAGGTGTCCAGAAAGTCAGATCATTTGAATGAATTTGAGCGTACTGTTGCATACAACTCTGTTTTAGACTAAAACAGTCATCTAACAATTGCTAGGTGCATACTGTATGAGTCAGTTATGCTGATATAGCAAAATTCAACTACAACTCAATCCCATGTAACTGCTTTAACCTGCAACTAACCTTCCAATATTTCAATTGAGAAATTAAGATATAAGTTATTTATAATTTTAGCGAAATACTGCCAAGTCAGCACTTACTTCCTCACTGCACACAGACAATATCTATCTCTGAGCCAGATCAAAACACAGTTTAGCACACATCTATCCTCATCACTGCACCACATTTTTATTAATGTCCTTTGTGACACTTTGCCTTGACTTTGCTAAGAAACCCCAGGCCAAAACTGTCATAGAAATTAACAAATGAAAAAAATTGTCTACTTCAAGAAAGACAAACCCTGAACTGACCAATACGGCTGTTGTACTCACCACTCTGCTGCAGTAGACAAACTGTCTTAACTCTGTGTAATAATTTCCAAGCGTGATTATATATGTGTTAGTGCAATGTCACTTCCACTGTTCCTGTGTGTGTGTGTGTGTGTGTGTGTGTGTGTGTGTGTGTGTGTGTGTGTGTGTGTGTGTGTGTGTGTGTTTCAAAGTGTACCATGAGGTATTATTGCTGCAGTTTTACAACCTGATGGATGGACTATTGGAACATCCTGATAAGACTTTTCACTCTGGGTCAGGGTGTTTTCATTACTTTATCACATTTACATTCCATTTACATCTACTGAGTAACTGATTTCACCTTCATGCCAGGATATGTTCCTGATCAATCTGATGAGGTATTTGGACTTCCGGCAATTTGCTGATTTTGCAGGACACAACATCCTGTGCTTTACAGCAGCTGGTTTTACAATATATTGACATCAGTGGTCCAAGCTTGTATTTTCTACCAGTCGACTGCTGTATTAAGGTGCATTAAGGTGACTGCTGTATTAAGGTGCATCACATATCCCTGTGTTAAAGGTCCAGTGTGTACCATTTAGGAGGATCTATCGTTATAAATGGAATATAATATTCATAGCTATGTTTTCATTAGTGTATAACCACCTGAATATAAGAATTGTTGTGTTTTCGTGACCTTAGAATGAACTGTTTTTATCTACAGACACAGCGGGTCACAATCCATGGAGTCCACCATGTTTCTACAGTAGCCCAGAAGGGGCAAACCAAACATTGGCTATAGATAGGGGCATTTGCATTTTTTCTGCATATTGCGTCCGCTTGGAGTGTAGTTGCAATCTGCAACTACTGCCACTAAATGCTAGTCCTTAAAGGCTTAATGTGGGGCAATGGAAAGCTAATGTGACTCCAGTGATTGTAAGATAAACTCTAAAACATATTTGTTAAATATGATCCACAAACGTTTCACTTTGATAATAACACTGAGACCAAAGCATGGTGCGACTTTTGTATGTTGTGTCAGTCACAAAAATATTTCAATATAAATAACATTTTAATCACAAATATGTATAATAGCCTTTGATATTTTAACATTATTTAAGGTTTTTTCAAGAATAATGTAAAATGATTTTATGGTATGGTATGGTATAATGGTATTGAATAATTTAGGTGATATATGAGCACACATAACAATCATAGGTCAAAAGTTTGTTAAATTTGGCTGCATTATAAAAGCCAGAAGTGGTACTGAATGACGAGCCATTTGGGAGCCAGAAGAGCTAATTGCTGAGCTGAGCCACATGATCTCACTGTAAAGAGCTAGAATGCTTATCAGTATTTCAGTGTGAACATCAGAACAAGCCACATGTCGTTGGGGCCCTGCTGCCATCTCACAGTTTCATATTGTCCCCTACTGCCATCATGTGGTTGAACAAATGCACACTAGGATTTTGGAAGTGTGCAATGAATTTAGGTATATTTTTCATTAGATGTTTTCTGAGAACAAATATATATAATGTGCTTTAGGTTAAGATGACCATTTAAATAAACAATGAATAATAATACATTTAACAGAGATTTTAAGAGAAAGGTTTTTCACAAGACTATTATTCATGATCAAATTGTTTTCTAAGTAAAATAAAATAAAGAGAGATATTTCATCTAAAACAGAAAAGAGTGAAGTTCCACAGTAAGACAATTGGTGCTAATTTACACCCCAGTCTCCACGAGCCACACTTCATATCTTTATGTCTTCATATACATCATGGCTTCATTTGCTTTTTACCTCTGCTGCAGCCATCAAATGGGAGTAAACATATTTTAAAAAGCTCCTGCAAAATACCATGCACTGTTGGGAGGATTTCTACTTTGCGTCCCAATTCCAAACTGTAAAATATAACTGCGTACTGATGTTGACAACGCACTATTACAGTGGTTCTGAACCTTTTTCCTTTTCTTTTATTTAGTAAATGGACTACCCCTGCAAGAAGTCTGTGTAAAACAAGGGAATTTTGAGCAGATTATTTTCTTTTTTAGGAAACTTTTTATACAATTCGGTATTATGTTTTTTTTTATTATCATTTTTACCAATCATAAATACTTAATAGACTTCTTTTTGACAAATTCAGGTTTTACTTGTTCCTGACACTTGGCTCGATTTTACAGGTAAACCATGACAGTAAAAGACCGTAAACTCTAAATAGGTTATAAATAAGTTTCTGTAAGAGTAAAACACTGTGATATCTCATTGCAATCTCTCATTTGTGTTACTTTTTGATAGAATTTATACAGAATTAATTATTTTTATATTACCTACTGTAAATTGCACAGAAAACCACTGTCATAGCATTCATATGGCAAAACAGTTTCTTTTGATGGTAAAAACTTGTGAAATATGGACTTAAAATGCACTAATATCCTTTTACCGTAATAGTAGAAAAAGGTTCTATCCGTATTTATTATGATAAAGTTCTGGCAACCACAGCTGTACACAAATGTGTGGGCAGTGTAGACAATACTCTACAATTAACTTTACATATAATTTTCTTCACAGAAGGGAACCAAATGCTGATATGTCCGATCCCCGGGTTGGGAAGCACTGCACTATTAACTACACTTCCGATTTGGATCACTGCTGTCAGTTCTATTTTGGTAATTGAGAAGTAGCAAGTCATATAAAAAAACGTTTAGGAGATTTCAGTATTTTATTATTTTGTTTTGTGCAATGTCTTTGGAGCCTCTCACTCTACACTTTCTTACAGTTTTTAACTAGCCTGGTATTTTTAGACTAATTTGCATCTGCCAGAGCAAATTAAACATCATGAGGCAGATTCGACCCAAGACAGGGTTTGCTTGTTTTACAGTAGTAACAATAGTGTTTTACATATTGATATATAATATACATATTTTCAAACCAGTAACATGTACCTAAAGTAAAATTACTCATTATGCGGAATGGCCCATTTCAGAATTATATCATATTATTATTTATAATAATTATAAAGAATCACTTTAATGTTTAATGTTGCGGATGCTGAAGGTGGAACTTATTTGAATGACTTTATATCCCGCTGGTTAGCTTAATCTATAATAATAATACACCATCATTTATTTTGCATTGATTATCTAAGTCTGTTAAGTCACCAAAGATTTAAACTACATGTAGTGGAGTAAAAAGTACAATATTTCCCCAAGGTGGCATAAAATGGAAACAGTCAAGTAAAGTACCACTTTAGAGAATTACTGAATACACATAATGTATGTTAACATACGCATGTCTAATAATGTCAATATTGTATGTGTGGATGAACTGAATCTTTATGAAGTCTTGGTTTGGATGATTGCATGTGATACTGAGAGGTAATTCTTTCATGATTTCAGATAACGTTTTAATTTACCTTATCTATGTCAATGGATGACATAATCCTGGCATTATGTTACCAGCCAGTGCTCTTGCAGTCCAGCTGGTGTGCTGCTCTCTGACTGCACTGCAGTGCCAGGTTATGTAACTGCCTTGTGTCTGGTAAAGCTTAGAAATTGTGCAACAGAAATGATGCAACTGAAAACTGTGCAATGTCCTATTACAATTCATTAGTTATTGCTGTAAACATACAAGATTACATTGTTTTTTTGGCATACGCATACGGTTGCATCCAAGCGGAATACATTGTGTAAATTAGACTTTCAAAATATGAAAATCATTATTTAAAACAAATAAAATACTACATATATGTCGCCACTTTCTTGTTTAAAATGCTGTGAAAATTCAAGAAATACGTCCATATTAGAAATATAGAAACTGTGTGACTGGGGTTGAGGGTTGGTACAAATACATTTGATAAAAGGTAGTTAAGTACTTAAAGCTGCAGTAGGTAACTTTTATAAAAATAACTGTTTTAACATATTTGCTGAAACTTTCACTATACCCTGAAAGTAATACATGAGACAGATAATCTGTGAAAAACTCAGGTTCCTCTGGTTCATCCTAGTGCTCCTAATGGTATTTGCAAAAGTCCACCAAACCCGAAAGAAAACAACCCATCAGAGCCGATAAAGATAGTAAGACACTTTGGGTTGGTGGCTTCAAGATAATTGATGATGCTTGAAAGATCTCATTCTCATCTCATTCCCAGGTCGTCTTAATACCGACGCTGGGAATGAGACTCAACAATCAAGGATCTCTCTGATTGGTTGTTTTCTGTAGGGTACTGTGGATTTTTGCAAATCCCATTAGGAGCACTAGGAGCAGCCAGAGGAACTGTTTTATTTCACATTTTATCTGTCTCATGTACTGTCAGCTAATATGGCAAAAACAACTTTCTGAACAACTAAACAAAATGACTACTATTTTCAGTTAATTAAAAGGGTTTATTAAAAAAAACGAGAATAAAAGTACATAATATTAGAGTTATACTAAGAGAATAAAGATCCTAACTGGGGATTACGAGAATAAAATCGTAATATAACCAGAATAAAGTCATAATATTGCGAGAATAAAGTAGTAATTTTAAGAGAACTGTCAGCCTGTTGGCTCAACCAGCTGTTGAACGACGGAATTATCCATACGTTAGTGTACCTGTTGATGTACGGTAGGAGCGGCTGCTGGGCTCAGGCTGAGGCTGCTGATTGGTTGAGCTGCTCACGTCAGATCTTGATAACTCTATCGAAGCTTTTTTCTCATTAAAACGATCACATTATTCTCCTATTATTACCACTGTATTCTCGTAATATTATGACCTTATTCTCGTAATTTCCAAAAAAATAAAATAATTGTTTTTCTTAGTCTGGCCCTAATACTCCGTCGTATCCGTTTTACTCGGGTCATTACGGTAGCGGACTCTGGTCTTCGGACCACGCCCCCTCAGTTCAGCCACTGTACATGCAGGAAAAATAGAGCTGTCAGCTGCAAACTGTCCTCCTGTTGCTGTGACTGACCGAAGACACAATTGACAGGTGAGTAGGACTGGACATTTAAGCATGTTTGTGCACTCTCGTGGAATATCGACAAATATTATTAAGCTTTTCCGGGTTTTATCCTCAGCGAGTGGAGACAGGTCGGAAGATAAGTCACTAGCAACGTTAGCTAGCTGACACAAGTTTAGCTAACTGTTAGAACCGAACTCTTAATATTATCGTGACGCTTTTTACGTTGTCAGTTCAGCTTTGCGTCCTAATATGGGAGAACTCATTCTCAGGTTTGAGTCAACGGATGTTGATAACCATTCAAAATGTCAGTTATTAATGGAGGTTTCAAACGTCACCCTGTGTAATAACGAATACAACCCATTCTCAGAACGACCCACCGTGAGTTCTTTTTAGTAAAATTTCAACCTGACGGCACCGCCCACTGCGGTGCCTTCTGGTGGGGGCCGACTGTATGAAGTACCGAAGGAAGCACAACTAAATGATGTTGCTTTATTCAAATAAGATGCCTTCGGTAAACTACACGCATGCCGAATTGTTAAGTGGTTGCTAACAATGAAATTGGGGATTTGCTTTATGTTTTATGGACATTAAGGGTATGCCAGGAAGCGAGGCAACATTAAATTACCACTCTTTTGAATGGAAATTGGTGCCCAGCCGCAAGCTTTGCAGGTTCCTGCATCACCGTGGCGAATAATTATCTACCGCCATCTCGGTGTGATTGTGCGTCCATATATCTGTTTGTCACACTGTGTCGGTATGGACCCGATGTGCCAGGCAACAGGGAGAAGTTTTATAAATAGTGTGACATTAAAGGCTGGATTCCTGACCTTGTTCTGGTCGGACCGATGCACTGCGCAGACTCAGTGGGAGGGTACAGCAGGGTTCAGTGACTCTGGATGCATTAACCTGCTCTGGTTGCTGCAGAACTGAACCCAAATCCCAAACTCTCAAGATCTGATCTGGTCTAGTGTACGGCTACTACTTGTTGGTAGCTATGTGGGTCCATGAGGGAGTTCCAGGAAGTCCTTGAACAAAAAATGCATTGCACATGTAGTTCTATATTTCTAATTCATCAAAAATGTTTTGATTTTACTGGAATTAAATCAAATGTATGTGGAGTCTGATTCTAGTAATTTGAGGGTCTGTGATATTTATGTTACTCTGGAATTCAACTGTAGTCCTTGAAAGTCAGATGGCACACTGTAAGGCAACAAGCAGTACAAACAGTCATTTGTAATTTGTGCATATGGAAGTAATCTGATAATCCAAGAAGATGAAATAGTCTGGTGTGTGATGTCAGGTATTCACATCCTTTACTTGGGTAAAAGTAGTAATACCACACTGTAAAAATACTCCATAACAATTAATAGCCAAGTAAGGAAATAAAGTAAATACTGCATAATGCCTCCAGAATCATATATAATCTGTTATAGTGCTGAATCTGATGCATTCATGTTTATGTGCGCTGTGCAGACATATTTTACTACTTCATATGTCTGGGACAGATTATTCCATTGAAAGGCACCATATTTAATGCAATATAAAGTACAATATTTGTAGTAATATTATATTTACTCTGAAATGCAGGGGAGTAGAGGTATAAAGTAGGTGGAATTTAAATATTAAAGTAAGTGAAGTAAAGTACCTTGTACTTAAGTACAGTGCTTGAGTAAGGAAGAGGAAAAATGTGTGTTGAAAATCAGTTTACCAGCAGCTATTGTCTGTCTGAACTACAGTGCATACTTCAGGTACTTCCTCATGCTGTGTTTGCACAACGCATGTCTCAATCAACTGATTGCCTAAAAAATCTTGTTTAACATTTAACCCTTCTTATTTTCATGCCATGCCATATTTGCTGTTTATGTCAGTCATGTAACTAAATGAGGTTCATTTTGTGTTTGAGATGTGTTGTCATGATTTCCCAAACTTTTACTCTTGACTTGTTGTAGGTCATTTTTATAAAAATAACTTTCTGTCATATTTTTGAATGTCCTAACCGTAGTACATGGCTCTGAGTATTAGGGCCAGACTAAGAGGAAAATTAAATAAATACAATTTTGGAAATTATGAGAATAAAGTCATAATATTACCAGAATAAAGTCGTAATATTATGAGAATAAAGTCATAATATTACCAGAATAAAGTCGTAATATTATGAGAATAAAGTACAAAAGAAGCAATTTCTTCCAAGTCCGTGTGGTTCTTTCTTCGAAATAGACACAGTCGTTTGCACAATCATTTCAAAGTCCTGATACTGATAATAATTTAATGCTGATGTGCCAAAAGATTAAGTATTTCCTTATTTGTGAAACCAATACCAAAGTATAACTTCACAAGATGCTCAACATTCCTCATTTTAACGCAGAGGGAAGACTGCTCTTTCTTGTAAGTGTTCTCATAAAATTACTACTTTATTCTCGCAATATAACGACTTTATTCTCGCAATATTACGATTTTGCTCCTAATGGTAATTGCAAGAATCCACCAGGCCTGAATGAAAAAAAACAATCAGAGACAAAAAGACACTTTGCGGTGGAGGCTTGAAGAAAGTTGATTGTTGAGTCTCAGTCCTAGCGTCTGTATTTGATGACCTCGTAATGAGACTCAACTATCTTTCTTGGCACTGATTGGTTGTGCTGTTATTTTTTATTTAAACTTAGCACAAAAAGTAAGGAAATTTGTGTAACAGTGCTTTTTGGCAATACATCTTATACCATTGGAAAGCCTTTTTAGTTCCCTTTCAAATGGTGCCCGATTTGTAGGGAACATGCATTTGTGGGATGAGCAGCAGCACTGAGTATGTGGGTTGCGCCCATGAAAAATTTGCCAAATCTTTTCTGCCATTGCCAAACAGGTTATTTTGCTGTTGCTTTTGACATTTGTTTTGAGCTTCTGGTACCCCCTCAGGTGCTGCCAATCAGGTGCCAGTTGGGCAACTAATGGGGCAATAGGCCAACGTCAAGCTGGTGTTCCGCAAAACCAAGTTGCGGCATTATTTGGAGTGAGCCCTAGTACCATCTCCAAACTGAAGGCCAAGTTCCATATAACGGGGGATGTCAAAGACAGGCTGCGAAGTGGGCGTCCCAAGAAGACGACACCCCAAGAAGACCATTTCCTCACCCTGTCAGCACTTAGGTGCCGTAGGCTGTCTTCTACAGATTTGCAGTCAAGGTTTGCAGGACGATATGGCCGACGGCTCTCTGCCCAGACAATCCGGAACAGTCTACACGCAGCCAATCTCCGGTCTCATAGGGCTGCCAGGAGTCCTGCCATGACCGCCCTTCACCATCAGGCCCGTTTGCGCTGGTGTCGGCAACACGTGCACTGGAACCTGAACATGTGGAGGAACGTTATGTTCAGTGATGAGTCCAGATTCTGCCTACGGCAGTTGGATCGTGGGGTCAAAGTGTGGAGAAGACGCGGAGAACGCTATGCTGATTGCTGCACCGATAGAATAACATCTTTTGGTGGAGGCAGTGTGCTGGTGTGGGGCAGCATATCCCTCACTGGAAAAACAAGGCTTGTCATCATTGGAGGCAATCTCAATGCAGAGAGATATAGAGATGAGATTCTGCAACCAGTGGCAATCCCATATCTCCGCAGTCTGGGACCGAACTCTATCCTCCAAGATGACAACGCTCGCCCCCAAAGGGCGGTGTTTATCAGAGACTACCTCCAGAATGTGGGAGTGGAGAGGATGGAATGGCCTGCCAGCAGTCCTGACCTCAATCCCATTGAACACTTGTGGGATCAGCTTGGGCGTGCTGTTCGTGCCAGAGTGACCGACACAACCACGTCGGCTGACTTGCGACAGATACTGGTTGAAGAATGGGATGCCATCCCACAGCAGTGTGTGACCAGGCTGGTGACCAGCATGAGGAGGAGGTGCCAGGCCGTTGTGGCTGTGTATGGTTCTTCCACACGCTACTGAGGCTCCTGATTTTGAAATGAATAAATTGTTAAATTGCCAATATGTCTTGTTTCTTCAAACTTCAATCATCCAATCCACCAAACACCAAATGAGTCAGTGGCAGAATAAGCTGTTTGGCATTGGCAGAGAAGATTTGGCAAATTTTTCATGGGTGCAACCCACATACTCAGCTCTGCTGCTCATCCCACATGTGCATGTTCCTTACAAATGGGGCACCATTTGAAAGTGAACTAAACCGGCTTTCCAACGGCATTGTTACCACAGAGAAATAATCAACCAAACACAAATTTCCTTACTTTTTGTGCTAAGTTTATTTTATTTTTTTAAATACCTTTAAATGAGCTGTTTTTGACTGATCTTTTGAGCATCTATCACAGATGGTTTGACCCCTTTGGAGATCTGTCAGTTTCCTCACTTAAAAAGTACAAAATAAACCTTGTTTTTATTTTGTACTTTTAATTGCCTTTATTTGATAGAGACAGCCGAAGATAGGCAGGAAAGGGGGGTACAGAGAGTGGGGATGACACGCAGCAAAGGGCCGCAGATCAGATTCGAACCCTGGGCCGCTGCAGCAAGGACTCAGCCTCAGTAGATGGGTCTCCAGCCCTACCCACTGAGCTAACCGGCTCAGGGAGTTACTTCACTAATTTATTGAGGATTTTATTATATTTGTCACCTGTCTGTAGTTTCAGTGTAAACTGTTCACACGTGGTGTGTATCCAGCTGCCAACATACTGCCTGCATGTAGAATTCCAGTTATTGGACAGGAAGCGTTTCCTCATGGTTGAGGGTTTTCATTTTAGAAGCCTAAAAAAATGGTTGAGTAAATGGGAAAGTGTTTTGTGGTAGATAAATGTTTATAACTATGTAGTAACCTGTATTTTTCTCTCCACAGGAGGCCAGGAATCAGTTAAGTTTGAAGAGATCTTCTCAAGATGTTGCCTCAACACCTGAAGCAGATCCGAGTCCTTATGCTGAATGACAAGGAGAATTTAGAGAGGACTCTGTTCAGACTTGAACAAGGTAAATCTTCCTTTCTGATTTAATTGCTGAATTTATAGGGGAGGCTGTCTTCTACTTTATATACAGTAGTAGTTGTATCATAGAGGAGGACTCTGCTGCTGTAGCTAATTCAGATATTGATATGGTTTGGGTTGAAGCTGTAGATATGTTATGCTTGTATTCAGTACCTTGTTTCTACCAGAACTGTAACTCTGGCTGGGTGGTGTGTATGTGTATGCATATGTCATCAAACACATATTGCTAGTGGAAAAAAACAACTGACTGATTGTAAGGCAAACTCATGTTCTAGATTCTTAGACGTCCTGCAGTACACTACTAGTGCAATGGGAATCGGTGATAGATAGTGTTCAGGTAGTAATGCTGGTAGAATTTTTTGGTGGGTTGAATTTTCGTGATATAAAGGTAAACTTTGGTATTTTTCGACTCGGAACAACACCCTTTCATGTCTAAGTGACTAATGTGGTCCAGTATCGAGTGAGAGCCTTACATCCAGAAACAGGCTAGGACATAATTGGGCACCGTCAGTGTACTTCCACTTTGTGGATTGTTATTAGAAATGTCTGACAAAATCCCTACAGAGATAGACCTTTTTGTTAAAGGTGTATAATTAGAAGGATGGATGTGGGTTAGGGTTAGGGTTAGTCTGAAAACCAGGAGCCTGTTACACTTGTGGGGTCCAACAGCTTTTTGTGAATCAAAATGTTTTGTCTATTTGAGGGTTAGGGTTAGCATTAAGCACTTAGTTCTGATGGTTAAGGTTAGGGAATAAATATTCAATGATGGGTTGAATAAAGTAACACAAGGATGTGTGTGTGTGTGTGTGTGTGGGGGGGTTGTCTTAGAGGAAGAAATGTACCATTTGACATTTACAGCACTCTGAACCTGATAGGGATTTTAAGGGCTGGACTATATATAGACAACTCTGTCATGGACCAGAGTCCGGAGGATCAGGAAGTCTTTTTTGGCGAATCTCACACTGAGTGACTGTATGTGTGAAGTATTTCTTTGTTTATTTCAGAGCTGCAGAGCACCAATTATGTTAGAGTACCAATGTTGAGACTATAAAAGGCCAGTATGGATGGGGAGCAAGCAAATAATCTCACTCATGATAAGAGTTTTATCAATGAAACTGATACTTTCACCTATAAAAATAACACAAAATCAATTAAACGTCAAGGTAAAATGGACAAAAACTGGACTATTGTTGGTCACATGGTACAGCCATAAGCATTTAAACATACCAGTTTGTCTTTCATTCATTAAGCATATGTTGAAATAAAGCAATTTGTCTGTCTCCTCAGGGTTTGAGCTCCAGTTCCGCCTGGGTCCCAGCCTTCAGGGGAGGAGGGTTATGGTGCACACCAACTACCCACTTGAAGGACAGCATTTTAAACGACACAACTTCCGTGTTTTGGCGTGGAACTACCCAACAGGAAGGGAGGATGACTCTGATAAGTTTTGCTCTCTGGACCTCAAGATAGCCGGGTCCTATCAGTACTACTTTGGATATGGGTAAGACCCTCCTGATAATGGACTAAAGGCTATGTCCCACATTTGAAAACATTAGAAATAATAGTATATTTCTCTAATGAGAGCTGAGGAAGTGTGAGAGTTAGCTCCAGTCAGTTGTCTTCAGAAGGCAAATTACCACCAGTATAAATATCTGTCTTCAGAACAGCATTACTGTACATGATGTCTTCTTGGTTTCTGGACAGTGTATACTGAAAGTAGGACCATTGACAGGGAATTTATCATGGCATGGTAAAGTAATGTAACACTGATGTCAGTGTGCATAACTTAACATGATACTAGCTGAGTTCATCTTGAACCTAATGGAGTTAGCACAGTTTCATCCACAGCACTTTTAGGACAACTTCGTGTTGGTTTAAAAGTTAGGCAAAAAAGTGAATTGATTTTGGAAATTGTAGTCTTGTGCTTTGGTTGACAGGCAGGTAAAAAGCTAGTAAGTTGACCTTGAGTTAGGATAGTAGTGTTAATTGATACCAGCTGTTATGTAATGCAGCTTTGCCACCACTGAAGTAGCAACGTGTGAGAGAGATCACTGTCACTCAGTCAGTCTTTGATGTGATGTGTATTAGGGATGTCCCAGTCACGTTTTTTACGCCTCTGCACAGGCAATAGCCGTGGCCAGAGGTGTTATGTTTTCAGGTGGTGCATTTGTCCATAGGTCTGTCCCTTTTTTGTGAACGCGAACACCTATGAATTTCTTCGGTCAAAGCTTACATGACATCACAAAACGTGTCTTTTTTTCATGACTCAAGAATTGATGGCCATATTTCTAGGGCTGCAAGATATGAGTCGCGATTAGTGTGGGAATGATCATTTTTGCCTCACAAAATAAATTTTCACTGAAAACAGCTATTGAGATTATGATGATGGCCATCTCTTCAGGTCTAAAGGTACTTTATTTTATTAAAATTGCAGCTTCTGCCATATTGTGATTTCGTGAATATATTGATTAATTGTGCAGCACTACATATTTCACAGATGGTCGGACAATGAATTGATGACCTATTTGATTCAAAGGTCACAGTGACCTCAAAATGACCTTGACAAACAAGTTTTTGGTCGTAATTGATGCGGTAATTATGACAGAATTTCACAGATATTTGATGGAATACAGTGATGAAGTGATTTTTTAACCAAACTGACATTATAATGTTCTGGAAAACCACTTTTTGTCTGTTATTCAACACCATAACTCAGAAACAGAAGGGGAGATTTTAACCATATTTCCCAGTTGATCAAACACTGAGTTGGTAAAGTTTTTGTCTCACAGGTCAAAGGTCATTGTGACCTTAAAATAGGTTTTTAGCCATTATTTAAGAATAAACTAATCACATGAGTTAACTGAGATGCAATGAGTCAACAATAAGTAGCACAGTACAGGCTTTAATCTTTCCATCTCATCCAGTCTGTCTTTCACTTCCTGCCTTATTCTGATTGCATATATAAAATGCCAGGAGAAAACAAAAGCACTACATTCTGTATAGCTATACTCTGTAAGAATATAGTCATAACTTTAAAAAAAAACACTTTACACCTTTTATTTAATTGATGAACTTTTTCATCATTTCTATTTTCCTGTATCATTTCATTTATTTGATTCTTTTTCCCCACAGAGACATGGAGCAGTCAGGAGGAGGATACTTTGTTGTTGACCCACTCCTTCGTGTCGGAGCAGACAATCATGTTCTCCTATTGGACTGCATCACCATCCAGACCTACCTGTCCAAATGTCTGGGACACTTGGATGACTGGCCAGATAGACTGAGAGTAGCCAAGGAGTCAGGTGTGTGTGTGTGTGTGTGTGTGTGTGTGTGTCTGTGTCTGTGCATGTGTCTCTGCACTGGAAACACAGAGTCCATTGGAGCTTTGACAGTCACTAAAAACACATTCATGGTCATTTGCAAAAGTTTCTGTGTGTACCTGTGTTGTAGCGTTAGGTAAGCTAGCGGCTCAGACAGGCTAACTCTCCGGTGTCTGGCAGCTAGTGCCAGGCTACACAGCAGGCCTCAGTCTGCAGAGTTGAGACGTTGGTTTTTATAGGATAAGATGGGGACTGGGGGTTGGTTGTGGCGAAAGCTTCCACCACATCACCCTCCTCCAGATCGGCCAATAACGAAGCAGTAGCCAGGTTTCAACCAGTAGGAGGAGGTCGCTATGCATATAGCTCAGTATGTAGAAATCAAATACTGACATCTTATTATATAGTACAATCACTATTTTGTGGGCACAGTTTTATAGTTTAGGTGAACAAATTAGCTGCCGAATTAGTTGTTAAGATATATGTTTATAAATCAAACTCATTACAAAGAACCATTTTACAGACTTACAGACAAAGTGACACAACAAAGTATAACAGCCGCTATTTCAACCAGGGTCCCCATCTGAACAGATTTGTAAGAATGTCTGTGAAGCTCCACCTGAACCGGAGAGTTCACCTGAGGCCACTGGACCATATTGACAGTCGTTGTTTACTGTACGTTATTTTAGTCCTCACCTTGAGTTCAAACGGCTGAACTCAGATGAATCATTACCCCTGTGTGTACTGTACTAGGGTGTAAAGACAGTAGGCTACCGTAGCCAGTTCACAGGGAGCTGGAACCTTCACAGCACGCAGGATGCACATTATCATTAGCATTAGTAGTATTAAAAAGTATGGTACATTGCCTTAGTGTGTGTCTCTTACAGGATACAACATGATCCACTTCACGCCTCTCCAGACTCTAGGAGAGTCCAGGTCGTGTTACTCCTTGGCAGACCAGCTGACCTTCAACCCTGAGTTCAGCCCAGAGGGTCAGAGCTACGGCTGGGCTGATGTGGGGGAGCTGGTGGAGAAGTTAAAGAAAGACTGGAACATGCTGTGTATTACAGATGTGGTATACAATCATACTGGTGAGTAACTGTGTGCACTATGTATTCCAACTGGTTTACAGCACAACCATAGTGGAGACCAGACTAAAATATGACAAACTGAGAATTTAAGTGCTTCTGCTTAATTATGGGAAGTCTATAATCATATTGCTAAGTGTGTCCAGTGATCTCACTGGCAATGTATTAATATTCCAATCACATTCTAAAGGGGCACCTTGTAAATTGAATATATTCCAGTGCTTGTAGATGATGATAGGTTTACAGTTAAAGGTCTGAACAGGCTTTTAAGTCACTGGAGGTGATGATGAGAATGAAGGAGCAGCAGTCCATGAGCCTTTCCTTTCACACACAGTTCATTAACCTTACTGACAGTGTGTTTACGTTAGTTTATCTATCAAGATCTATCATGAAGAAACTAGGTCACTGCACCAAGAAAGAGTCATTTGAATTAAATGTTTATATTTCAATATTTCTTTCCTCACCATATCCCAATATGCTGTCGTATCATCATAGTATATCACATCATATAGTAACTACTCTACACTGAGTTTATGGTTAACATGACATGTAGTGACATTACATCAGTTACATTAATCTGATGGCAATTTAGCATGTGAGCATATGAGCAGGTGGACAGGTTTAGCATGTCTCAATAAGCACCCAGGTCACTTTTACTTAGGACTCAAAACTGCAAGTTTACTAGGTTGGAGCTCATAACATTTCCTTCAACAAGACACATGTCTGAACTGAAGCTGTTGGATTAATGTAAAGCCTGTAGCAGCACATGGTGACACATGCAGAAAGAGAGAAATGCACATCTTCTTCATTAGGGTAAATTACATATCTTACTCTTCATTCCTTACGCACAAAATCAGTTTAATGAACTAGGCAACACTGTGAAAGAGCCTGTTTTTAAGTTGAGCCTGTCCAATATAATGGTGATATTGGCCTATCACAGACATATTGGAATTGATGTCTGTGTATACGTTATCCAAAATGTGTCGATATGCAGAAGAAAGTATTTGTGGTAATATATTAGTGTCACTGCAGAGTTTCTCCAGCAGAGTGCGCTGTGAGTTGCAATGCTGTGGAAAGCAGCACAGAGTAAGAGAGAAGAAGCAGCTCTCAACACTGTTGACTAGAATTGGTTAGCAATGTATATGTTCAATTATTTAACATTTTAAAGAATATTTAACTTACATAAGTTAAATAAATATTTAATGCAAAATCCTCATAGAAAAGGTCAATTTTGATTTCAGCTCAAAAGTTCACAACATCAACCAACATATCAGTAATCAGTGAATTTCTCCACTCTAAAATTGGTATCGTCTAGAAAATCCCACATCAATCTGGTTCTAATTTTTAAAGATCGATCTTCTCATGTCAGATCAGTCTATAAAAACCATCCCTTCACTGTGTGACCAGGGTAAAAGAGCTTAAAAAAAGACCTGCATACTACACCCTCTCTATATTTTCAGTCTTTTTAATACCAGCTCTTATAGGTATAATATACAACAGACATTTTACATACACCATGTGAGCAAATAAGAATTAAATGTTGCTTACTTCATGTCCTGTCAGTCAATGCTTGTGCATGTCGGACGTTCTCTTATAAACTTAATAAACTGTACCAGGGGTTAGTGTGAGGAATGAGCGTCCCTAACACTCAGGGCCTACTAATGGCCTAAATGCATCCTGAGAGAGAAAACTGTCTTATCCCTCTCCAGTGAAATCTGAATTACATAACATTGTATTGGCTGTCAATCATGATGGAAGAGTAGACAAGTTAAGTTACAGCATGTCCACCATCTCTTGTGGGGGTTATGCATTAAGCCATTTGTGGTACCCTTACCACATTGTGCCTCATATACTGTAAATGTTAGACCCAGTGACAGGCTGGCATGAAATGGTTTGCATAGTTTTTTCTAGTGAAGTTAAGTTTCTCCAGCTCTCCCCAGGTTGGCAAAAAATGACATCTCAAAATGCATCAGATTGATGCTTTAAAATATGGAATATTAAAATTTTTCTTCTTGGGGAGCATGCCCCCGGACCTCCCTAGAGGGGTAATATCATTCTCACCTTTTTCACCCCGACCCGTTTTCATTCCTGCTATCATAAGGTTTTAAAGTTACTGCTCCCTCTCTCTCTCTCTCTCTCTCTCTCTCTCTCTCTCTCTCTCTAGAACAGTTTTGTGGTATGCATCTTAGGCCAAAAGGCCACCATGACCCCCACTAGTATCAAGTTAATGTCAGTGGATTAGAGAAACTTGAAGGGTCCTTTAAAACATCCACTTTGAGATTAGAATTATGCCTTTAATAAGTTCTACATACAATGCACAACTCTGCATGAGACTCTTCAACTTTCAGAGTATATTACCTTCTAGTCTCTCTCTCTGTCTCTCTCTCACACACACAGACACACACACGCATTGTGAAGTATGTGGTGTGTGTGAGCTGCATGCTAAACCAGGACCTGACTTCACATTAATAAAGAGGCCACTGGCATCAAGCCATAAAGCAGAGTTACGAGCCCTCAGAGGGAACACTGAAGGGAGGAAGGTGACCCCACTAAATGAGTGAATGCTACACAGAGTACTACACACTACGCTAACGTGTGAAAACATTGGACATTATAGGGATACAACACCCAGACATTTGGTTAAATTCAGAACTCCTTTAGACCGATAAGGACTCACGCATTAACAATAATAATAATACAAAATGTCAGCATCAATGTCAGCATCAATGTCTCTAATGTCCGTTGAGTTTCCCTACCTATTTAATGTGTAGAGTATGTGAACCCATGAGGTAAAGACCAAGAATGCATTCATATGTAAAAGAACAATGGCTTATTTTAAACAAGTTAGAAGAAGAATATTCCTGATTGACGCTGTTGTGATGTCATGTTTCAGAGAAATCAGTGGTAAACCTGTTATGGCTTCAGTTTACTGGTTAAAGTGCATGAAATGGGATTTATCTCATTAATAAAAACTGGACAAACTAACATGAAAGTAAAAGAAAGGACACTGCAGCTCTGTACTCTATGTGCTGTCGTATGTTAGCATCGTGTACCCGTTTACCCATATCATCCCATCCTGGCTTTCCCAGAAAAGGTCAGTAAAGGTCAGTAAAGGTCAGTAAAATGAGCCAGATTAAAAGGTTAAAGACTCACCGGGTGGTTGATTTACTATCTAACTAATACTGTGTGTGTGAGTCTATTTACAGATCTCTACAAACTACAAAAAAAAATTAAATTTTCACTTCATTGTTTTTTATATGGTAACATTCTCTAAAGTACTTAAATAGTGTTGGTTCATGAGCTGCTGCTCAAAATATATATACATTCAGCCCATTCACAGGATCGTTGATCTTGGAATTTTTTTTTGTTTTTAAGTATTTTTTTGTGGCTTTTATTGCCTTTATTTGATAGGACAGCTGAAGATAGACAGGAAAGGGGGGCAGAGAGAAAGAGGAGATGACAAACAGCAAAGGGCCGCAGGTCGGATTCGAACCCTGGGCCGCTGCAGCAAGGACTCAGCCTCGGTACATGGGTCGCCAGCTCTACCCACTGAGCTAACCGGGCACCCGCAATGAACTGTTTTTATCTACAGAGGCTCCCTCTTCTACAGAGTCTATCATGTTGAACTTCACCACTATATGCCACTAAATCTTCCTTTTCAGCTGAAAATTGAATTTAGTTTCAGTAAAGAGTATCTGTTCAATCAGGGAATCATGTTAGAGATAGAGTTTCCAGCATTCATCATACCTAAGACTGTTTTATCACTTGGTAATAACATAGCTAAATGGTGGTGATTACATTATGTCTTTTTCTTCTCTTTACAGCTGCCAACAGTGTGTGGATCAAAAAACACCCAGAGTGCGGTTACAACCTGGTGAACTCTCCCCACCTGCGACCAGCCTGGGTCTTAGACAGAGCTATCTGGCATTTAACCACCAGAGTAGCAGAGGGACGCTACAAAGATAAAGGACTTCCTGCTGACATTACCAATGAGAGCCATCTGAACGTGAGTCAGCACAGTCCAGCTGGGTACTCACTGCACAACTGTACACAAAAGAGTGGACATGACACACTTAATGGCATTGCATGACTGTGAGGATACACATGTGGATCATATTGCAGCATTAATCCGTCTATTGGGCTGTGACAAAGGCCATAATACTAAATGTTGCAGTACAGATCTTTGACAAAATGTAGAAAAGGTTGTAATTTACAACTCAAGTGCTGCCAGAACATGACCTCCAACCGTGATATTTGTTCAGCCTGCCACTTGAAATGTGTTTATCTGCACTACTAATTGTAGTTAGTGGCATGAGTTAAGCCTGAGTAAGTGTGATGATGACCATACCACATCTTCAGACGGTTGACAAGGGGTGTTATTAACTTTGTTAGAAGCAGTGTATGCTTTCAGTAGTTTTAGGTACATTACAAACATGCACATGAAATGTTTTGAGTAAACAACACAGCTGTTTTATATTTTTTTATATTCATTTTTTAGTTGTAGTTTTGATGAACAAGTTGCGATTCACTTTGCGTGTACATTGTCCGATCGCCATTTTCCACTTCAAAACAGTGCGATCATGATAATAGAGAAACATGCCTGTCTCTCTATATCAGTCCCAGCCCCACATGCTCTACAGAATGTGTGTGTGCGTGCTCAGCTGATGGGTTGTGTCCTGCCGAGAGTTGTCTTCAGTGTTCACAAATTTTAGCAAAATGATTGAAGATAAAATACAATAAGAATCACACTGATTGGCAGGGAACAACCTCATTAGACGGGCTACTTTAGAAAACACCAGGAAACACCGGTGAACTTGGCTATTACATATTTATTCTATATTGAATTATCTTTATTTATTAGTCTTTATTTACATTGTGCTTTTTACATCAAACCATTTTTAGCATAGCTTTATTTTATAAAAAATTGATTTAAAGCCAATACATATTATATATAATAATATAGTAATAATAATAATAATACACTAGATATGGGAACATGGGATTAAAAAACAATTAATAACAAATAATCTTGGCTAATGTATTCTTTTACTAGAAACATTAATTCTGCCTATTTCAATGAAATAAACATCATTGTTGGGTGCCCGGTTAGCTCAGTGGGTCGGCGCCTTCCTTGCTGCAGAGTGTTCAAATCTGACCGCGTGTCTCCCCTCTCTGCCCCCCCCTTTCCTGTCTATCTCCAGCTGTCCTATCTAATAAAGGCAATAAAAGCCACAACAAAAATACTTTTAAAAAAAAAGGCCATGAAAGCTCTACAGTAGTAAGAATTGCTAATGTAATAATAGTGATAATGTGTGTGTTTGCTTCTTTCTGTGTATGTTGATGTGTGTGTATCAGGCCATCCGTAGTGTGCTGTGGCAGGACGTGTATCCTCAGGTCAAACTGTGGGAGTTCTTCCAGATCAAAGTGGACACCGCTGTGGAGCAGTTCAGGACTCTACTACAAAATGGTCTGTATTAGTGTAGATCAGTGACGATTAGAAATATTACCGCAGGACTAGGTGAACTTTGTAATAATTGCAAGGTTTCAGCTTCAGTGAGGCACAGAACTGCTGTGTAGGTCGCCTGCGTTCAGCAGCGCTCAGAGCCCAATACACATCGTAGTGTGCTAATGTAGAGAGACAATGTAGAGACATTTGATTAACAGACTTTAACTATCCTCTGTCTGTATGTGTTTTTAGGCACTAAACCAGACCACAGTAAGACTGGAGGGTCGAAGGGCCTGAAGATCATTCAGGACCCAAATTACCATCGTTATGGCAACACAGTGGACATGGACTCTGCTCTGGAGACATTTGTACCTCACAGGTCAGACTCAACACTTCAAGCTACTGCTGTCATTGTTTAAAATATCTGTGTTTTGTATGAAGTATGACAGTTTTCTTGTTCGTTGTATTCTTTCATGAATGCTGATTTGAAAACCAGTCAGGTTCTGACACAAACATTGCATGGCACTAAAATTTTTTTAAGTTTTGTAGACATTTTCTTTTTTTTCTTTATTCAGAAAATTGAAACTAACATATGTTGTTTCTCAGTCTCTACGTCTCTATAAAATGGGAGATACTGAAGATTTGCTGTCAACTCAATTAACATCATTGTCTTGTATTTCTAAAATCTGACATGTCCAACCCTAATACATACATGAAGTTAACATGTGATTCTGTTTTGAAAGAGACAGCTGTAAATCAGTCTGCAGGATTATATGTTTGTGGTTCCATTGTTGGCCACACATCATAAACAAAAATTCCAATTAGGAATCCTTTTCTTGGAGCACTTTCAAAATGTTCACTTGCTGCCTGATATACCCCACCCACTGACAGGTGGTATAATAATCAGATAATCTGTGTTATTCACTTCACCTGTCAGTGCTCATGATGTTATGGCTGATTGGTGTATATGTGTGTAGCACTGTGCAGAATGTAGACTAGTGGTATTTTTTGTTTAATGCTGCCTCTCTCTAAAGCTCCTCCCCGCAGCACATCGAGGAGTGCTGTGGTTGGCTGAGACAGAAGCTGAACGAGCTGAATGATGAACAGTACCACATCATGCACCAGCATCAGGAGCAGGTGAGCTTAAGGGCCCTGTTTAAACCATCTATAGCACATCTCAAGAGTCCACATAGGGCATGTCCAACTGCACTTTTGCTTTGATTGTATTTAGTCTCTTGATTAACCATAGGTATGCTTTGGGCATAACACAGATTAAACCATTAAATCAGAATGCCACCTCCCCTTTAAAGGGGAACGTTGCTATTTAAACAACAGGTTTTGGCAAGTTGGAGAAGTGAACAGTTTTCTGCTGAGGAAAAAGAGCTGCTGACCCTTATCCTGCCAGGCTGTAAAAGACTTGTATCATCTCCTCTCAGATTATCTGGAGACAAGAGACTATTCGCACAGGACTAGTATTATCTGGGGACCTGTAGTAATGTGTAGGAATTGATCTTAATCGTACTACTCATGCCATCATGTGAATCTGTCATGTCCATAATGTGTGAAGTAAAAATTCCCCTGAAAATTACCTACAATATTTCACCAAACACAGAGGTCATGTGATAATTTTATTCCTGGAAGAATTGACATCTGAGTGATTTTCGGTCAAATTTAAACAAAATTTTCTTTTTTGTACGGTATTAAACTGGGATTTTAATGCAGCAGAGCTGAACTTAACCTGGAGCGGCAGGTGGAGGGGAGAAATATGGTGCTGCACATAAGAAGATGTATACAGGTCATGGATGTATTATAAGATCAGTAAAGTTATTTTTACAGTGAGAGGAGCAGTTTCTGCAGCTGTCTCCAGTCTTTCAGGCTTTTTGGTCCGTAATGAAAACTGGAGAGAGCACAAAACGCCACAGTTGTGGCTTTAGTTATTAGAGGCACACAGTGCTCTCCAACATCACAAACCAACTTTTATGTATTTTGCTTCTTTTACTTATCTATAGTATCACATCTAAAACCCAACAAATAACACAATCTGTGTCACGAACCCTCATGTGTAGGCACATCTTACTGTCTGATTAATACACCCTTTAAATATTCTGCGCCATTGAGTTTAGACCAGCTTTTTGTTGGTCAATGAAACAATTGCTTTGCCAACAATGAACCTGGCCAGACCTCATTTTAAGACCAACACACCATTTGCTATCTGCACACTTTGCTGTGCAACACTTTTTGCAAGAGGCCCTGAGTGTCAAGTAGCATCAGGTAGGATTGCTGCTGATGGAGGTATATAAATATTTAGAATGCAGTACAACAGCATAATATGAGCACTAAAGGAAGATCCTACATGTCTGAGCAGTCGTGCGAGTGCACATGGGAACCAGCTGGAGCCAAACCTGACACCTCTTAGTGCAGTCAGGGATGAGATACTGACATACATACTGCAAATGTCAGAAGGTCTCATGTCATGTATAGTACAGGTTCATCATGTATTTTATGTATACTAAAAACAGTGCATAGTCAACATTAGAACGCAGTATATTCTACATAGTATTAGTATAAAGTGTGGAATGGTAGACATACCAAGGGTTCCTAAAGCACACAAATCAGTCAGTGCTCATTCTGTTCTTCTTTTCTTTCCTTAAGGCTGCCAACTGCATTGTGGGAAATGTGGTGTATGAGCGTCTGGCAGACCATGGCCCCAAACTTGGTCCCGTTAACCGGAAGAACCCTCTGGTTACCAGGTAAGGAATTTAAAGATATGGGTTAAAGGAGAGAGCAAGATGTGGAAGAAGAGAAGTGGAGGGATGGAAAGATGGAAGAGACACTTCTTTCACACATTTTTCTTATGCTTAGAGCTATACCAGTAGTTTGTCCTAAGGGTGATGCTACAAAAAAGAACACTTAAAACGTAAAAATTAAAAAAGAAATGAATGGCAGCTTGAATAGAGCATGAAGGTGTGAAGCTGATTCATGGAAATGTACCCAGCTATTTTGTGTGCAAAGGTGATATTTTGGCTCAGTTGCTCATGGAGTTTTCAAAAAACCATAGTCTGAAAAAATGTGCTGAGTGACATTCCCACATTCTAACCGCTACCAGCAAGGCAAAAATATTTTAGATGTGTACTGGGCAGTAACTTAAACCTGTGAGCATTGTGAAGTTGTAGCATAAGGATATCCTTCTCATATGCTTTTAGTGTGAACCCTGTAACCCTTAACTCATTTCTTAGTAGCACACACTGTATCATTTCTAAATCAGCCTTCTTACTGAAACAGGTGGCAGTAGTTGAAACTTTATGAATAAAACCCAGAAGTAAGACTGACTTGGTAATCTGCATTTATGAGTGAAAGCACTGTTATATCAGTCTGACACCATCTACACATAGTAATGCCAGGTATAAATATTAAACTAGATCCTATACAATTAACAGGAGTATAAGGTCCATGATAATGCTAGCTGTGAAGCAAGGCTGAAAGTTGGTCTTTTCATCTGTCTGTTTCAGGTACTTCACCTTCCCATATCAAGACATGACCCTGGAGCAGGAGCTGCAGCTGCTGGACCAGCCGGACAAGACGTGTCACTTCCTGGCTCACAACGGTTGGGTGATGGGTGACGATCCACTGCGCAACTTTGCTGAACCAGGTAAATATGTTTAACTTCTAGAAAACAGTCAGGTACAAGAGTTTCTGCAGGGCCTTAGAAAGTTTAAAATCCAATGATCTGAATTTTAGGCCTTAAAATGTCTTGATTGAATTATAAAGTATTTATAAGGTATCACTTTTAAACGTTTTTGGGGAAAGTTTAACCATGCAGGTTATATCACGCTGCAGTTTACCAAAGCACACCCAGCTGTTGAAAAAACAAGTAATAAGTAAAGATTGTTTATTTTAATGTTACTTTCATCTAATATGTGCAAGTTCAGTTCCAGCTCGAGTACTTGTTTGAGAACAGCACATTGAGTGCTCTGTTCAAGCCTGTTCAAAATAATAATAAATTAATGTTAAAATTTGGCTGGGAAGGTATAAAGGCATGAGAGCTTAATGGGAAGTCAGAAAAGTTCAGTTGAATGTGAATAAATTCATTTACTTTGTAAGTCTGGGATTTTCCTTCAGATTCTTTGTACTTTTGTTGCCCGTATGGACCTGAAAAAGGTCTTGAATTGCATTCATAACAGTCTGTAAAAGGTCTTTAAAGGGTCTTAAATGTAACCTGTTGAAACCTGCAGAAACCCTGATAAATATACTGTAACTAAGGCATTTTCTGTTACATCCAAGATATTACACGTCGCTTTCGACGTTGCATGGGTGAAATGCATTTGAATATGTGTGTCCATTAACAGGGACCTGACAATGTCAATTGAGTATAAGCTATTTTCAGGCTACATGTTAAACACTGCACTGTAGTACTGATCAGTACTGATCTGTGTGTGTGCTACATATAGGCTCCAATGTGTATGTGCGTCGGGAGCTGGTATGCTGGGGCGACAGTGTCAAACTCCGCTATGGCAAGGGCCCTGAAGACTGCCCGTACCTGTGGGCCCACATGCAGGAATACACTGAAACCACAGCCAAATATTTCCATGGAGTCAGACTGGACAACTGCCACTCTACACCACTACATGTGGCTGAGGTACTGTCATATATTATCATATTATCATACAGTTAGGAAGATGTCCTTAAATGCACTGATTTAACTGGGAGAAGTTGCATTGTACAGTGGTAAATACCACCTCTGTTAAACTTTTCATTATGATTAATAGTTGTTCACAGTGTCAGAAAGCCTGTTAACCCTTACTCAACTCAAGTTACGAAGTAGTTAGTCAGAAAAAGTAAAACTATGATGATAAATGAAATTAGTCTGACATGTAATGCAGAGCAAAAATTGTCATTCTTGTTTTTCATTACTGGTGATCAGATGGAGAAGCTAAAAAACCCTGAGTAGTAAAGAGTGATACCAAACTGGGTACATACTTAAAGCTGCAGTAGGTCACTTTTTTTAAAATAACTTTTTGTTATTATTACCAGAAACTTTTACTATATCCTGACAGTAGTACATGAGACAGACAATCTGTGAAAAAAGCAGGTTCCTCTGGCTCCTCCTAGTGCTCCTAATGGCATTTTCAAGAATCCACCGGGAAAACAACCAATCAGAGCTGAGAAAGACATTAAGAGGCTTTTGGCTGATGGCTTGAAGATAGTTGATTGGTGAGTCTCTTTCCCAGCATCGATATTTGACGACCTGGGAATGTGACTGAACAATCAACCTTCTCTCTTTCAGTGTTTATAAAAAAATAATCTTGAAAAATGCTCATCAGTTTTCCAGAGCCCAGTGTTACTTACATTAAGAAGCTGAGATGAGGCTCAAAACCAAAATACTATACGCACTATTATTATTATAGTATCCATTACTACTAAAAATATTACGGAATGCAGTCCTATGCAAGGTCACCACAAAGTACAGCCTCAAAAATGACCAGTACAGTTGAGTCAATGGAACATTTTGCATTATATTTATCATGGTGTTGCAGGGTCAGTTTTTTAGGCCTTAAAGTTTCTTCTTCTTCTTCATATGACTTTGACAGGTCTTAAACTTTTAGCTTTGTTAACGTTACTTGTATAATGTTGCACTTGTCTCCCTTTTAAATGTACTTTTGGAATAATATATAATATATATATGTATATATAATATTCATCATGCTGTAACAACTACCAAACCAACACCAATACAGACAAAACCGATACCAATTTTCTTTCCTATTCTTTGTTCTTTTTTTCTTTATTTTGAAATAGGTCTTAAATTTAATTTTTAATTGTCTAAAAAGGTCTTAAAAAGTTTTAAAAACCTGTTGGAACCTGCAGAAACCCTGATTTGTTGTAGGCCTATAATCCTGCATTGCATTAAATCATGCAGGTATTTCTATTTTTTTGGGCACTCTGTGTTATATGAATAAATGGCAGACATATACATCGGCCTTTCTGACCATGTAAAGAACCAACTCTGTGTTAAATGTGCAGATTTCTCAGTTCAGATATGTCACCTTGCGATGCAACATCAGTAGATTTCCTACACCTCATAATGTCAGGTTACTACAAAAACCAATGGACCTGGCTGCTATAGTGTCCATATGCAAACGATTGTAACATTGAATAGGATTAGTTTAAGAAAAAAACAGTAAAAACAAACATGTAAATAGTGGTAAAAGCAAATTCCATTGCAGTCTTCATGTGTGTATAAAGGTAGAAGCATACTGTATATCAGTGTTAACAGCAGACCCTTCTTCTCTCCCTGTGTGTAATGCTGTATTGTCCTGTCCAGGCCATGTTAGATGCAGCGCGGTTGGTCAGACCCAATCTGTATGTGATAGCTGAACTGTTTACAGGCAGCGAGCTCATTGACAATGTGTTTGTTAACCGGCTGGGAATAAGCAGCCTCATACGAGGTACAACTCTCATGCATGACCTAACTTTGTGTTTTTGTCTTCTCTTCTTACTGCATTGTTCTGCATTGTTCTTCTTCTTCTTCACACCCAAACATCCCCTCCCTCTCACTTTACCTCTTCACTCTTACTCACCGCTCTGTATGACTGCATGGTGTGGTTACTTTGAGGCTTGTTATCACTAACTGGCTGCATCCCCTTCAAATTAACTCTCCTCCTCCTCCTCCTCCTCCTTTCTCATCTCTTCCCCAACCTCCTCCTCCTCCTCTCTCTTCCTTTGTCCAAATCATGACCTCTTGCACTGGCCTGCACTGGTGTTGGCGTGTTGCCTTGCTGTGGTTGACCAGTTCATGCTGGACGTGGCCAGAACAGTTTGTCCTAACCTGTATGTGGTGGCTGAACTGTTCACCGGCAGCGAGGAGCTGGATAATATCTTCGTAACCAAGCTAGGGATCACATCGCTCATACGAGGTACAGTAATCGTTATGTTCAAAATGCACTACACACACCTACATACTATATCTCAGTATTTTGGTCATTGTTATTTTTAAAGTTTAGATTATTAGATATAAACCGGATAAGGGGTGAAGACCTGAGCCAAGCCGAGCCTTCAGCCATGGTGACAGGATCAAGATGCGGGCTCCCCCTTGTGGCAGTTTAAAAAAATCAATTACTCATCATAATTTTCTAATTATAATATATCGATATATGACGGAAATCTTGTTGAATGTTACATTTAAAAACATTTTAGAAAATCCAGAATTTTCTGGACTAGTCATGCCTGTGAGCCCTAAATATATTTACTGAAGGTAAGCTTGTGTCCATCAGCTCTCAAAACCACCTGCACTGCCAGACTGGAATGTTGGAATTGTGTGAAGTCGCTCACCGTGCTGAAGCAGTATGGACTGTGTTGTGATAACCACCCTCCCTCTCATGAACTTTTCCTCCTCCCACCCTGTCTATAGAGGCCATGTCAGCTGGTGACAGCCACGAAGAAGGCAGATTGGTGTACCGTTATGGAGGTGAGCCGGTCGGAGCTCTCGTTCAGCCCAGTCTCCGCCCACTGATGCCCTCCATCGCCCATGCCATGTTCCTTGATGTAACCCATGACAACGAGTGTCCCATACAGGTGGGTATCTGTCAAGGTCAGGTTAGGGTGGAGTTGGATGACTGAAAATGCTTCTTTTTATATATACACACTGTAGATATCTATATAATATCTAAGCTATGTTTGTGGGTTTTCCTTACCATATTCAATTCCTATCATTCCAGCAATGTATACAATTCCAATTTAATAGTAGCCTTCATTCTGTTGCTGCTTTCAGTATTTTTACCTGATCAAATAAGTAGAAAAAATGAGATAATAGCCAAACAATCAAAAAGTAAGTGTGATAGGGTCACTGTGTTGCAGTGTAACTATCTAGATGTCTAACTGTGTGTACATGTGTAACTGCTGCCTCTCTATGTTATACAGCTGCGTTCAGCACTGGACTCCCTCCCCAGCTCTGCTATGGTCTCTATGGCCTGCTGCGCGACTGGATCCACCAGAGGATACGATGAATTAGTGCCACATCAGGTTATTCACAAACACACATATACAAGCTATTAATTCAATTCAATTCAAGAGCTAAAATGCAACAATGTATCATTCTTTTCCCTCAGCCCAAAATGAACCATGCTGCATGTGTGAATTCACCCAAAGAAACAAATTCCCCATTTTTGGCTCATTTATTGCAAATATAAATATGATTAAAGCTAGTGAAGTCTGTCATTTGAAAAGCTCTATGCAGAGCTAGTGTATCATAATAAAGAGGATAGAGAGCTGGATAGTTTCCTGCAGGCACTGCTGCTGGGAATTTTAAAGCAGATACTTGAGAGACAGCTGCTAAACTGCAACCAGTTATGCTACCAAAGAAGGTACATGATTCACGTTCGACCCTTCACATTTAATGTCCCTCTTTACTTATTGTCTGTGTTTTGGATTTTCACAAAAATTTTTTAAACTGAAATTCATTTGAACTGACCCCCAAAAAACAAAGAGTTTGTTTGTGTGGGGTCTAATAAATGAGTAAAACACACACTTGCTTATGCACACTGGCTTGGCGACAATGTTTATGTGGAAATATGATAAGTTAGTACCAATATAGTGTATAAAATACAGTATATACTCTATACAGACACTGAGCTGCTGTATACAGGGTGATATAATCTATTATTGCCATACAGCACCTGGCATATACTGGATACAACATACACCTGCTCAACTGCTGGCGTTAGTAGAAGAACTACAAGAATAGCATTAGAAGATTAACAGACAATACTGACAGTGTTTGGTATGTCTGTGTGTGTGTGTGTGTGTGTGTGTGTGTGTGTGTGTGTGTGTGTGTGTGTGTGTGTGTGTGTGTGTGTGTGTTTGTAGATCTCTGTGGTGAAGGAGGAGCGTTTTTACCCCAAGTGGAACCCCTCAGCGCCCCCAACCTCCACAGGTGAGGTTGGATTCAAGTCTGGCATTATAGCTGGCAAACTGGCACTCAACACGCTGCACCAGGAACTGGCTGCCCAGGGATTCATCCAGGTACCATCATGCACTTTGTGTGTGTGTTAGTGGGACATCGGCTCACACTAAGCTCATTCTGCAATCTGTTTTTTATGTATTTATGCAAGTATGACCAGAAATATTTCCATCTTTGGTGCTGCACGCTAACAGTAGCTGTGTTTCTGTACTACCTTTCCCAGAAATCAGTTTAATCAATAGTTATCTTCCTCTCCAGGTGTATGTCGACCAGGTTGATGCAGATATTGTTGCAATTACTCGTCACTGTCCCAGCACGCACCAGTCTGTGGTGTCAGTGTGCAGGACAGCCTTCTGGAACCCCAAAACCCACCAGTACGAAGCCAACGTCCCACCCATGTTCATACCTGGTATGACGATATCTTTATGTTAGAAAATACATTTCTAAATATTTTTGTTGCATTGTTTTGTAGTATTCATGTGTTTCTTGCACTTTGTCACATATAGCAATTCTTTAACTCATGCAACTTAAGCTCATTTTCATCTGTAGTCCTGGGCGGAGGCAGGGCTCCAGAGTACGACCAGAATTTTTAAGAGTGCAACTAATAATTTTTCTAGGTCGCACTGGTGCACCTGACGCTGCCCGGGTGAAAACATAAATTTATTTCGCAAGCGCATCATCTCTCTGTGTTCTCCTGTGACCAAACTCACACACTCATGGTAGGATCATATCGTGTTCTAAACCAATAAGAGACAGAGCTCGGCGGGTCTTTGCCTCTGATTGGCTGTGGTCCTGTTCACCGCGCTAAGTTGTGTGTGTTTAAAAATTGCACGCGACCCGAGCGCCAGAACAGCTGACTAACTGAAACGGAAAAATAAAATAAACGCGACAAAACGAGGGAAAATCAAGAGAGGCAGAAATATTGAACGTTTTTTTATTAAGAAAACTAAGCCTACAACCAGCCCTACTACTATAATCCCATCCATCCCCACTACTGAGAGTCCATCCCGTCAAGACACGGAGCCCTCGGTCCCTGGTGAGATACCAAGCCCCGGTCCTAAGGCGACAGCATCAGACTCGGAACCAGAGGAGGAGACAACCGAGTCTGGGATAGAGCCCGGCTCCGAGACCCAAATTAAAAAGGCCAAAATATATTCCTTCAGACAGGACTAGCTGAAACAATTTCCCTGGCTGAGGTACAACAAAGGACGTAACGCAATGCACTGCGTGTACTGTCAGGAGTGTGGTCAGAATATGGCCGGAAATAGTGCATTTGTGAACGGGTCAACAACGTTTCATATCAAAACTTTAAAAAAACATAACATGTCTAAAAAACACACGATATGCCGTGACAAGTGTGTAGAGAAAGTGGCCCCTCCCAGCTGCATTTCAGCGGCAGGTAGTAGTGATCAGGTCCTCTTTTATTTGGAAATGTTTTATTTTGCTTAGTGTTTTAGTTTGAAATGTTCAATTTCAGCTCAGTGAAGCACTTTAAACACTTTATTTTTCTATTTATATATAATTGTGCTTCAAATAAAGACAAGCATTTCTCTACACCTTATTCTTGTTTAAAAATCATTCACATTATATGAAAGTTATGGAGAGCGGTAAAAAGGTGACCTTATGGCGTTAAAGGCAACGCAATGAAAAATTTGGGTGCACCTAAATTTTGTGCTGGTGCACCTAAAAAAAAAACAGTAAGGCGCACCAGTGCAACCAATGCAAAAAGTTAGTCTGGAGCCTTGGGAGGTCACTGGTGATAACCAACATGGCTTTCCAATGCTAAATGGTAAATGGTCCTGTACTTGTATATTACCTTTCTAATCTTCTGACCACTCAAAGCGCTTTTACACTACGTGCCACATTCACCCTTTCACACACATTCACTCAGCGATGGCAAAGCCCATCAAACAGAAACTAACTCATTCATACACATTCACACACCGATGCACAGCATCAGGAGCAATTTGGGGTTCAGTATCTTGCTCAAGGATACTCTGACATGTGTTGGGAGGAGCCGGGGATCGAAGCAACAACCTTCCGATTAGGGGACCACCCCCTCTGCTCTGCCTCTGCACCACAGCCGCCCCTAATCCCAATGCTGAGAATATTTTTCTCCCCCCTCTCTCTCTTAAGGGAAGATAGAGGAAGTGGTACTGGAGGCAAGAACAGTGGAAAGGCATGCTGGGAGTTACAAGAAGGATGACAATTACATCAACGGCATGCCAGAATACACTGTGGAAATAAAAGAGCATATACCGGTAAATATTTGGTGTAAGATATAGGATGATTGTAATTCTGCATATGGTTGAAATAAATGAGCATATCAATAAAGTAATTCTAATATTTTTATAAAGTTACAGGAGAGTACAGTGGTGAAGCAAGCCGGAGTGACGTCTAAAGGCCGGTCAGAGTTTGTGCAGGAAATCACCTTTCAGAAGCTGACACCTGGCAGCGTCATTGCCTTCAGGTAATCTACACATAGACCTTCATTATCCTTGAGAAAACATTTCCAGGCATATTTATCTGCCTTTCCATCGTTTTTTTAAAGCTAATTCATTAGCATTGTACATTTTGTTAAGTTGTTGGTCACAAAGTTTTCTGTCGCTCTCTCTCCTCCTCACAGGGTTAGTTTGGACCCCAAGGCCCAAAAGCTGGTGGGGATGCTGAGGTACTATCTGTCCCAGTTCAGCCCCAAATACAGGAGAGGCAGTGTAGCAGATGAAAACCCACCAGAAGCACTGCAGATGCCCCTGGCACAGTGAGTACATCGCTGCTGCCCTATTGAGAGATGACTTTTTGTAACTCCTACATTGGTTGTATGCAGATAGTAAGGGTTAAACCCAACTGAACTAGGTTTACCTTTTACTTGTAAATTAGACTTAGTGTCCTTTAAGAATAAAATTGTGATAGACAAGAGTTACTTAACTTTCTAATTCTGTTTCCAGTTGTTGTTTTCACTGCATATGTGAAAAAAAGTTGTATAAATTATTTTGTGGCTCCGAAAAGAGCTGCACGAACACAACATTATGGAAAGGACCCTATAAAAATAGACCTTTTGTTTAATCAGAAACACCTGTAATATGACTATTACTCACCACCAAACTCCATAAACAAAAACGCTAATTTTACATAGCTAGTTACCGTTGTAACATCATAACTTTCTTCAAAGTTGACACAAACAAAATAAAACTCACTAAAACAGTCTTTGTAGGTCTTTCGACTGTTCCAACAATCACCAACTCTGCTTTGGTGGAAATAAAAATAAAATTCACAGACGTAGATGATAAAAACAGCAGTTTCAGTCGCTCTACTCAGCAGACCAGCTATGGAAACAAACCACAGAGAGGCTGTGAAAGCAACACAGGCAGAGGGAGAGTGACACCATGTGTCAATAGTTGTTTGCTGCTATGTTAATGCTTAAAAGCTTGTATATATACCCTTTAAAGCTGTGTGTGTTTCACAGGCTGATGTCTAAGCTGACGTTAGCAGACATGAATGTCTTGCTTTTTCGCTGCGATTCAGAAGAACAAGAAGATGGTGGAGGCTGTTACAGTATCCCAGGATGGGAGAGCTTCAAATATGCTGGACTACAAGGTAGTTACACAGATGCTTCACACAGTTTCTAGTTCATCAAGTGTACACAGTGACTGAACAAATTATAAGGTATCTTAAAATAATGAGCAAATCACATTTTTGTGCTAAATTTAAGGATTCAGCATTGCTGTCAGCCAAGTGATTTTAAAAGTGTTGTATTATACTCAGGACTGTTGTTTGCAGCACTGCATGTACCCACAGCTCTCTCACACACACACACTTGCTCTGTGATTATGCTGAGCATGCAGCAGAGATAAGGAAGATAGCTTGCAATTTACAACACTGCTATCTAGCAGTTGGGGGTTTAAACACAAAACTCCATACAGTGTTCTAGAGAATCTATACAGTATCACAAAACAAAATACTGTGATACTCAAATGACTAGACATGATTAGATTTGACTAAACCTCTGGACAGGCTCGTTTTGTCTTCACTCGGATTGTGGACGTTGGTGTTTCTCACATTACTGGCCTAATATAACAGCAGTGTTAATATAGTTGGTGTGTGTGTGTGCAGGTCTGATGTCAGTGTTGGCTGATATCCGTCCCAACAACGACCTGGGCCATCCTGTGTGCGCTAACCTCAGACAAGGGGACTGGCTGATAGACTATGTCTCCAACAGACTGATAAACAAAGATGGACCACTGGCACAGGTGAGGCTTTTACACTTTTAAAAAGCCACAAACAAAAAGACATATTTCTTATCTAATCTCTACTGGTATCTAGCCATGAACACAGATATGGTTTTACTTGTTCATGTTTTGAAATAACTTCCTCTGATATTTATGCTGAGACTTCAGTATAGTATAGTGACAGTGAATGGAATATTATCAATGGTGCTGTTAACTGACACTTTACCCACCAACCGATTCCATTCTCTCAAGTGCAGTCAGCGTTCATATGTATTTACTGTGTATCTGTTGCTCTCTGCTGTGACATTTCGGTTGTATCTTAGCTGGAGCTGTTTCTGCTGTTGAATTATTTTGACCCCCAGGTTGAGGAATATGGATATGTGACGATAAAAAGTTTGGGCAGTGGGCCTTTTTTTTGCAATGAGTATCCACAGCCCTTAAGTTGGATGCTGGAATCCTGGAACAGATTTTCCATTGTAACATTGTGTGTCTGCAGGTGGGTCAGTGGTTGGCTGCCATGTTCACCTTCTTGAAACACATCCCTCGCTACCTCATCCCCTGTTATTTTGATGCCATCCTGGTGTCCACCTACACCACAGCCCTGGACGCAACTAACAAACTCATGTCGAGGTAGGGTGGATTCTGGAGATGGCATCTAATATTTAAATGTAAAACTATGAACTAATTTGTTGCAGCCAAGTGAAAATTCGAACGAGCACATTTCTTCCTGGATTCCTGATTTTTCCACCTTCCCGTCCAAACAGTTTCATCCAGAATGGCTCCAGCTTTGTCCGTCACCTGGCGCTGGGTTCAGTCCAGATGTGCGGCGTTGGACGCTTCCCTGCCCTCCCTCCAGTTTCTACCAAGATCGACGACGTTCCCTACCGCATCAGTCCAATCACAGGCCAGAAGGAGCAGTGCTGTGTCTCATTGGCTGCAGGTAGCCTAGCAACAGAGACTTAATGGTGTCTCTGGATATGCTGAAGTAAACTGAGAAAATAATTGATTCAAGTGAAATTAAAAACAATTTTTATTTAGCTTAAAGGTATTGCCTTTAAAAATGTTTGTTTCAATCAGCAGGAGTGTGAGATAAGATGAGATTTGTATGACATACAGTATATACAGTAGGTGGGCAGTCATTAGCTGATTTAACAAATTGATATTCTTTAGGTCTTCCTCATTTCTCCTCTGGAATTTTCCGTTGCTGGGGCAGAGACACTTTCATCGCCCTCAGAGGACTGATGTTAATCACTGGGAGATATACTGAGGCTCGGTACATATCTCTGTGTGTGTGTGTGTGTGTGTGTGTGTGTGTGTGTGTGTGTGTGTGTGTGTGTGTGTGTGTGTGTGTGTGTGTGTGTGTGTGTTTGTGTGTGTGTGTGGCTAGTCCAAATTTAATTTGCCAGCAGATTTATAACAGTATCAGCCTGCAAAAGCTCACAGTAACTAAACCCTAATATGAATGTCTCATGGTCTCCATAGTAACATCATCCTGGCCTTCGCGGGGACGCTGCGTCACGGTTTGATCCCCAACCTGCTGGGCGAGGGTCGCTGTGCTAGGTACAACTGTCGTGATGCTGTGTGGTGGTGGCTGCAGTGCATCCAGGTAGGAGGACACTGTAATACAGGAGGTACCATAGACAGTATATATAATGGACAGACCATTCTTTCAGGGACCAGCAGGGGGCAGCGCCAGCAAAAAAAGAAATCCTGTAGTATTGAGTCTTATGGAGAAATGAGCTGACTTCTGACTTGGTTTATAAGCTCCTAATGAGTTGATGGTGTCAGTCTCTAGCTTCAGTCTTCAGTCTTCCATACAGCATGATGTTCATTTAGTGAACAATGGTCCCATTTAGAGTAAAATAGACGAGATGTGGCTACCTTGTGATTGACAGCTCACTCTCAGTGAGAACCGTCCAGCTCAACGCACCAAACTCAGTTCAGACTGTCAAACTAGCCAGTGCTGATCAAACATAAAGTAAGATTCTGTTGCTGCGCTGACTATTTCAACTGTCGACAGGAAAGAAGGGATTATCTCAATTTAATAGATTTTTTTTTTTGCCATTAGAGTTGATCTGTTTTCACAAGTTATTTCTAACTATATTTAGAAAAGTTGTATCTAGATGTATTAACCTAAATAAATGGAAACATGGTGGTGTGTGATGATGAACTTAATTACTTACTTATGCTTTTGTTCAGGACTACGCTACCCACGTTCCTAAAGGGCATGAAATCCTTCGCTGCCCTGTCACACGCATGTACCCTACTGATGACTGTGAACCCTGCAAACCTGGAGAGGTGGTATGTACAGCTAAGTCTCACACACACACACACACACACACACACACACTCTCACAGGTACAGGTTAGCATCATGCTCTGCTGTCTGCCATAAAGCCTTTCTTGATTTCAATTAGTGCTGTCAGTTAAACGCGTTATTAACGGCGTTAACGCAAACCCATTTTAATGGCGTAAATGTTTTTATCGTGAGATTAACGTTTTTCTTGGCCTAGCACACTTTGTAGTTTTTTTCACATGCTGTTGCAACAACTAGTAACGTTAGAAAAACTACAACACCACACCGGATCTAGCTAGACCGGAAACAAAACAACAGGCACGCCGCACACACTTGTCTAAGAGTAGTAGACGTTACATTTTGAGTGGATGGCGAGCGCAAGACACCGAAATGGATGCCAATAATATTCTGAATGGAAAGTTCTTTGATCCCTTAGAAAGGGCTGTTGAAGGGGCTGTTTGTGTGACAAAGTATTTTTTTCACCCTTTTATTGATGGACAGTGTTACATTGTGTGAGAGATTATTTGCTCCAAGTGAGAATGTTAGTGTGAAATTGAACACTACAATATATGCCAATGTTGTTTTCAATAAAAACAACATTTGCACAAAGCAAGCCGATCCACTTTTCCATGTTGATAAGAGCATTAAAATGAGAAAAAATAATGGGACAAAAAGAAATCAAGGGACATTTAGAATAGATAAAAATGTGCGATTAATTGCGAATTGACTATGACATTAATGCGATTAATCGCGATTAAATATTTTAATCATTTGACAGCACTAATTTCAATTAAACCAACACTCAACCATCATCATGCGAATGTGTGTGTGTGTGTGTGTGTGTGTGTGTGGGTGTGTAGGAGCTGCCTCTGTATGATGTGATCCAGGAGGCTCTGCAGCGCCACCTGGAGGGAATTTCCTACAGAGAGAGAAATGCTGGTTCCAAGATAGACATGAACATGAGAGATGAAGGTATTATAGGGAGTGTGTGTGTGTGTGTGTGTGTAATGTAGGGTCAGGATAATGTAAGGGGATGTGTGTGTTCCTCAGTACCACCCACTGTATCTCTGAGCTCTTCCTCTCCCTCCCAGGGTTCAATGTGGTTGCTAAGGTGGATCCAGCCACAGGTTTTGTGATGGGAGGAAACCGCTTTAACTGTGGCACATGGATGGACAAAATGGGAGAGAGCGAGAGAGCGAGGAACAAAGGCATGCCTGCTACTCCAAGGTAACATACATACACACACACACACAGACACACACACAAACACACACACAGATTTTTGACTGTTAGCTGAAGAAAACACATTTGAAACACTATTTTCTGATGTCTTAGATAGATCAAATAATGAATCCCATAATTGAAAACATATTTAGATATTAATTAGAGATTAATCAGTAATGAAGAGAATAGTTAAATCTGTCTGATTTGTTTTCTGTTTCCTTTTTCTGTCCAGAGATGGAGCAGCAGTGGAGATAGTTGGTCTCAGTAAGTCAGCTGTGCGCTGGGTGGTGGAGCTCCACGCCAACGGACTGTTCCCTTATGATGGAGCTAAAGTACACAGAGATGGTATTACACACACACACACACACACACACACAACACACACACACACACACACACACACACACACACACACACACACCTGTGTTTTCAGATAAATAAATGTGTCCCGCACTCTGAAACACAGCGGCCATCTCTAATAAACACTCTCCACTGTGTTCCAGGTCAGGAAGTGTTTATCTCCTACTCCCAGTGGAACCAGCAGCTCCAGCAGTCCTTTGAAGCTGGTTTCTGGGTGTCTGGGGCCCCAAATGACCCCAATGAGAAGCACCCGGATCTGGTGCATAAAAAAGGCATCTATAAGGACAGCTACGGAGCCTCCAGCCCTTGGTGTGACTACCAGCTGAGACCCAACTTCGCTATTGCCATGGTGGTGGTAAGCAGAGTGAAACCTGCCCCCAGCTGTGTCAGTAATCTGTGGCTGTATGGGCTAAAAGGTCTGTATGTGTGTTTAAGGCTCCAGAGCTGTTTACAGTGGAGAGAGCCTGGGAGGCTCTGGACGTGGCTGAGAAGAAACTACTGGGACCACTGGGAATGAAGACACTTGACCCTGAGTAACACTGATCTTCACACACTCTCAGTATACACACACACACACGTGGTAGATCTAGTGTATTCCCCCATTGTTGTAAATATAATTGTGTCTTACTGCTTCATGACAAGTTTAGGGTAATGATGACAGTGTGTGAGCTGTTTGTTTCATATTCAGGCTCATACTGATATTGCATTTGTGTTGTCCTTCCAGTGACATGGTGTACTGCGGTGTCTATGACAACGCTCTGGACAACGACAACTACAACCTGGCAAAAGGCTTCAACTACCATCAAGGACCAGTGAGTGAAACAACAAGCAGCCATACATCTTCAGCCTTCATATACATATACTCTATAACAGCTATTACATATACACACATATATAACAGCTATACATATACACACATATATAACAGCTATTACATATACACACATATATAACAGCTATTACATATACACACATATATAACAGCTATTACATATACACACATATATAATAGCTATAACATACACACACATATATAACAGCTGTTACATATACACACATATATAACAGCTATTACATATACACACATATATAACAGCTATTACATATACACACATATATAACAGCTATTACATATACACACATATATAACAGCTATTACATATACACACATATATAACAGACATATATACAATGTGTCATTGTGACTTCCCAAAACACATTTTTGCTCATGCAGGACGGTAAAATCGAGTACAACAGTAACGGCATTGCAGTCCAAAGTAAAAATATTTAAACTTTTTGCTGTCCTCCACAACGGAATTTAAAACCAGATGTTACATAGTTCCCTCACACAAGGAGAAAACAATGGGGACGACGAGACACTAATAATTAATACATTTCATAAAATAATACACACAAAATCATTTTATTTAATATAATTTATTCCATTTTTTGTAAACGATATGACTTCATGTATTCCATTTTTTTGTCCCATCCGACTGTTGGTCTGTTTTCCCAGTGCTGTGAGCAAGGCGCTCTCAGTCTGCTGTATAATTATGCAGAATTACGAGTATGACATTATGAGCTTTTTGACACTGCTCACATTGTCATTATCTGTCTGTGAAACCTCCTCTCTGGTATATACATTTTTTCTTACTGTACACATAACCAACTCTCTCTTGTGTGTGTGTGTGTGTGTGTGTGTGTGTGTGTGTGTGTGTGTGTGTGTGTGTGTGTGTGTGTGTGTGTGTGTGTGTGTGTGTGTGTGTGTGTGTGTGTGTGTGTGTGTGCAGGAGTGGCTGTGGCCGGTAGGCTACTTCCTGCGTGCTAAGCTCTACTTTGCCAAGAAGATGGGAGAAGAAACCTACAGCAAAACCGTCATCCTGGTGAAAAATGTTCTGTCCCGACATTATACTCACCTGGAGAGGTACAGCTGTCTGTTTGAATCATTGTATTGCTGTCTTTATTGCTGGTGTATTGTCAGCTCTGACCCCCCCTGTGCTCTCTTAGGTCTCCATGGAAGGGTCTGCCCGAGCTGACCAATGAGAATGGCCAGTACTGCCCGTTCAGCTGCGAGACCCAGGCCTGGTCTCTGGCCACTGTGCTGGAGGTCCTCTGTGACCTCTGAGTGGCCATTGTTGGGCTTTGAGACACACAGAAAGAGAGCGGCGAGGCCACCAACACTTCCCACTGGCGCTGGAGCTACATCTGATTGGATGCTTCCAATTACATTCATTTACATATATGACAGAATCTCAGGTGTGATTACTGCACCACAATGTCCCTCCTCTTCCAGGTCATCACTAAACTTAGTTAAGAGGATTTAAGGTCATCAGAAGTAACTGAGTTCATGTACAGACCTCTTTCCCTTATGACATAAATGCAGCATATTTCCAGGTTGAGCCTTTAATTAAAACTAGTAGCAGCTCCTGAGCTGATACAGTGTCAGTGTTCTTCAGTGTTCATTCTCTCAGAGTGTGTCACACTGCTGCTGCCATGGCCACACAAGCATTAAAGGTCCAGTGTGTAACATTTAGGAGCATCTATTAAGTATTTTATTTAAGTTTTGGTTACCTTAGAATGAGCTGTTTTTATCTACAGACACCGCATTTCGCCTTCTATGGAGTCCGCCATGTTTTCTACAGTAGCCCAGAAGGGACAAACCAAACACTGGCTGTATTGCCTTTTGCGAGTTTCACGGCCGCTGTAGTTTCTCCTACACACACCCATTCCCATTCCCAGGCCATCAAATACAGACCCAGGCAGCGTTCAGTTGGCTGCAATCTGCAACTTCACCTCTAGATGCCACTAAATCCTACACACTGGTCCTTTAATATCAAGTATTAATCATTTTCTTGACCTGTACAGTCTACAAACCTTTTAGGTAGAGAGCTCAACAATATACATCATCAAATGAACTGACCGGTCCCTCCAGGATTTCTGAGATGCCTGATTGCAATGCATGTTGTGATGTTTTAAAGTATTTTTTGCAATGACTTTGTGGGAGAAGGAGAAAATTGCAAAAATAGTTGCATGAGAATAAAATTGCTAGTAGTTAGGTGGCGCAGAATGGACAGGGATTAGTTGAATTGGTTGAAACTCAACTTCCTGGAGGGACTGACCAAAAACTCCTTCAGTTCAAAATCCACATTAAGCAATCTGACTTTTTATTTACTTCTTTTGAAAAGTAAGAATTGTAAAATTACACTTAATCAAATGCATAGAAAGAAAAGTCAGAGCAAACAAACCCTCCATGAAGTGAAATTTGATTCAAATTTCAAATATTTCAGCATGGCAGTGTCACAGAGCTCTCGAGTGGTACGGAGAAACCTCTGAAATATTTTTAAAAAACAAAAACAATATATTTTAAAACATATAATACTACACAATTTCTAAATGAAAATACTAGCTAATACTAAGCTATAAGATCTCTAAAATGTAATTTAACACAAGTTTTACCTTTTTTGTAATATCTAGTTTCAATATGTGCTAGTCGCACGAGTAGCGCACTCACACATCCATGATTAGTTAGGAGCTAAAGTGTGATGGTAAGATAGTGAACGGAGGTAAAATGAACGGTTTCAAAAACTCTGCAATCATGGCTCCAAACGGGAACTCTTGGGAAGAGAAGTGTGGACCAGGAGGACCCCTTTCCCACCAAACTAGCTCTGGTTCTTGAACCGGTTTCATTCAGGATTCAACAACAGTCAACAGTAATCTTCTTTTAGGAACAAACCTGCCTCCTGGGTGAACTCTCTATAGCTGAATAGGGTCGGCCTATGCTGCTGTATTTTAACCTCGGTCATAATGGTGGTATTTGGAGAGCCGAATATTTTCTGAGGTGCTACGCTGGCTAAAAGGTTTGACCTAATATTTTGAATGAATCAAATATAACTGATCCCAGCCCTTTGGTGTTGATATGTGTATAATCATACACTGAAACACCCTGCAGCCAGCACCCAAACCAAAAATGGGCAGAACATACATACTTACTGAGCGGGTGCTTTTATTTCTTTTATACTCAAGTCCAGTAACCTGTCACTGTGTGCTTTTACACCTTGAACCCTACCTCCTGATCGTCCTTGTGACCCGTCTAAACAAGTGACCTGAACACCTTAAAGGTGACTGAATACATGCTCTAACACCAGTGACATACACAGTTCTCCAATTTGTTTAAATCTATACCTTCAAGCTGCAATAAGGAACGTTTATAAAAATAACTTCTTGTCATATTTGCTGATATTCAGACACTTGGGTTGGTCCCAAAGCGTCTGTATTTGACTCCCTGGGATTGAGACTCAACAATCAACTCTCTTTAAGCCTCCAACCCAAAGCGTTGTTACATCTTTCTTGGCTCTGATTGGTTGTTTTTGTTCAGGCCCGGTGGATTCTCACAAATACCATTAGGAGCACTAGGAGGAGCCAGAGGAACCTGATTGTTTCACAAATTATCCGTCTCATGTACCACTGTCAGGATATAGTGAAAGTTTCATCAAATATGAGTTATTTCTATAAAAATTATCTATTGCAGCTTTAAAGGGTCTCTTCCATAAAGAATACTGAACCCTCCATCTGATGCCTTTATACTAATACAACTTCCAGCTGTTTCATTTTCCCCACAAGCCTTATGATGTAGTTAAATATTTCTATCATTCAACTGTGTACTAATGTTTTGTGCATGAACGTTGTTTTTGTGTCTCTAGTGTTTCCTCTAGTGTGTAACCATGCTGCAGATACATGGTCTTATAGCTTTAGATGTTACACAGAAATACCACAGCAGATATACAATATGAACTAAAGTTCCAACATAAGTTGTTTTCAAACACACTGAGAAAAGTCAGTGTGTATCTGAACACTGGACATGCTTAAGGTCAACTGTCACTGATGTCAACTGTTCTGTTTTGCATTTTAAGACTTGATCACAACACATCATCTAGTCTCTTTGGAGTCTTGTTTCCTAATTCTCACTCAGTGTGATAGCGTTGGTATCTTTACTAACCTCCATTAATAAGATGTCGCCATTTTCAATCATGGTTCTGTTCACGCTGCAAGCCTGTGCGCTCAATTCTCATTTATTGCTCAGATCTGATTTTTTTTGTCTATTCATATAATTTTTTCAATGTGGCCCATATCCGATTCAGTGGTCACGGTCCTGAACATAGGACTGCAAACAGCATTTTGTTCAGAGATGATGATGACGAGGAGAAAGAAAGAAAGCCAGATTTGACTTCAGTACGGAGGTGTGTGTGGATGCAGTCGGAGCAAACGGACCGGTTACAATTCGACCCCTCTAGTTTTACTTGTACAGAAGTGTCACCCTGAATACTTCTGAAGACCTCACTCTCCCTCCACTGACTGCCTCCTCACACTGAGTGACTCCCAACAGCGCAGGATTGTGACAAATGCCAATGGAAAGTTACAGAATTCACAGAAGTTCACAGAATCAGACCTGTATCTGATTTGGGCCACTTTCATATGTGGTCCAAATCAGCCAAGCACATCCAAGCACATGTCAGGAAAAAACTGATCACATTTGAGTAAACAAATCAGATTTGCGCCACTTCTGCCTGCAGTGTGAACACTGAAGCTGAGCTACTGTTACTTTATTGAGACGTAAAATTACTGGTCGAGTGATTATAGTCATAGTCATAAAACTCCTCACAATAACCAGCCTGTTATTATTTAGTGTAGCACTGTTCTTATTGTGCTTTGCAGTTTACTGCTGGAGAACCAACCCCTGCCTGTGCAGCTGCTGGTTTAATAATGGACTTACAGAACTGTTTTAACAAAGTGACATTACATCTGTACCATCACACAGTGCAGTCTGTAGAATAGTACGAAGCTCTGTGAACTGAAGCTGTGTTTTTATGCATATGTGTACCATCAGTGTGTCTGTAATGTTTACTCTGTTTGCATAGTGTTAAAGTCGCCATAGGCAGACAATAAACTGTTACATGACTCCTCTCGTCTGTGTGTGTAAATGTAAAGTAAATGAATGAAACATAATATGGTGAAGGAGGTCAAATGCATGTTTAATGAGATAATTCAAGTTTCAAAGTCAGGTAGTGAGTTATATTTATACATGATATATTTCTGTGTCTGAAAGCAGCTGTAATATATTGGTTAGTGATATGAAGTCTGTTCATCATCATGAAGGAAATCATCCAGACAAATCTGGTGGCAGGGTACAAACTGCTTCACGTTGGATATTAAAGTAACAACATGAATCTAAAACACACTAACACAAGAAATGAACATGCTGAGTTTAAGATAAACTCTGTAGAAGAGGACCCGTTCATTCTAAAGTAACACACAATGATCCCTATACTGATTATACACTAATGAAAACACAGCTATGAATATTAGATTTCTGACAACAGAGAATTTGTTACTGTCCATGAGAACTATGTATGGAGATTGACAGGATCCCGATTCTCCTGGACTGCCCCCTAAAGACAGTAATGCCTGTGTTGTGTCTCTGAATATCTAATAACATTGTTCAAAGGAAATAAAAAAGCAGTGCGTGTCTGTTTTGATTGGAGACACTCATGTTGGCGAAGCAGTCATGTGATCTCCTAATTGTAGCTGGGACTGTGACAATATGTTGTCTCTATATTCACATGGATGTTCAACTAACAAAGGTGGAAATGTTGCACTAATAAAAACCTTCTCCATTTTCACTGTTTGACCAGTAACAGGCTTAAAAAGACACAACTTCTGTGTGTGTTTGTGTGTGTCAGCAGTAGGCAGGCAGACTCAGCAGACTGATGAAGAGCAGAGCTGAGGAGGAAAAGGCCTGAAGAGAGAGAGAGAGAGAAACACATCAGCATCACACTGCAGCTCCGTCTGTCTGTCAGTCCATCAGTTATTAGTACTCACTCCAGCTGCAGAGTTCCCACTGCTGTCCAGTCTCAGAGTGCTGCTGTTAAGCTGAACCCAGAATGTTGTGTAGTCCTGGACCAGAGTGGCGCTGTCAAGAGGTATCATAAAGTCAGATCTGGTCCGGGTGTTTGGATCCATTTCTGCTGTGACGGGTGTGGCACTGTTTGATTGATGGTGGCTCAGTGGCAGTAATGACCACTAGAATGCATGTTAATGATCACGATCCATGATGGCTCAGTAAATGTTGCACATGCTCGCTTTCAGAAGTTTGAACTTTGGTTAAAGTTTAAGTTAGAATTAGATTTGGGTTAGGATAAGGATAGTGTGTGTGTGTGTGTGTGTGTGTGTGTGTGTGTGTGGGGGGGGGGTTTTCGTTTTACTACATTTGTGGGGTCCAAATACTGGGAGCCAACTAGTGGGTCTGACAGCTTTGTGGGATCAAGTTATAGTCGGCCTGTTTGAGGAGCAAGACTTGGTTTTAGGGTTAGGGTTAGAATTAGGTTAGGGTTAGGCATTTAGTTGTGATGACTGAGGTCAGGGTAATATAGAAGCACAAGGATGTTATGTTAGGATGTGTGTGTGTGTGGAACTTTGTCTACCTGAAGTAGATATCACCATAGTTACTGTTGCTAGGTGATGCCCAGGTCAGCTGGACTTTATTCCTCTTGGCTCCTGAAGCCTGACTGACAGTCGAGTTCTGCACGAGAACACACACACACACACACACACACACACACACACACACACACACACACACACACACACACACACACACACACACACACACACACACACACACACACACACACACACACACACACACACAGCTGGACTTCATTCATTGTGGACAGCCTAACCCAGAACTTCCCAACCACTGACAGTATATATAATGGACAGAGTGTCCGGGTTGTGCCGATCACACATACCTCCATGTTTTTACAGTGCAGTGCAGTAAACAGGGTGGTGTCGATGTTGGTGAACTTTCCTACAGGCCACAACAGAGCTGGAAGCAGAAAAAACAAAGAGTTCATTTGATGGCAAAATACGGTTCCCCCAAAAATACAAAAGTCTAGAAATAAATAGTTTCTCATGCTCTGTCTTAGCATTTAGGTTATGACAAAGCAAAACAGGGTTTTAAATGAAAATAAATTCAAACTAAATTAATAATGATAGAAGCCAACTGAAGAATAGTGTCCTTAATAAACATTCAAGGCCAATCTTGTGATACCTATTACTACGTTTGTAATAGTACTGACTGTACAGTACACACATTGGCAGCTTCTCCTTGACCATGATCCATCAGTATTTTCTTCAGTTGAAACAGAACATACTGGCAGGGACGCTATAATTAAAGGCATACAGCGCAACAAACAATGTATAGACTCATACAATAAAAATCCCTTTCGCAAATCATCACTTATGACCCACTACAAGTGTGTGCTGGTGTCTGTGTGTGCAGAGACCCTGTAGCCCTCTGCCTGTATTTTCTTTTTGTATGCATGCAGGCCGTGTGCAGTGCACAGGCTGTGGTGGGGACACAGCAGACAGTACAGCAGTGTGTGGCTGTGTTTATTTGTGCTTTAGAACGTAACTGCTGTGAAACAATGTGAAATGTTTATCTGACTCACTGCTTCATTTTCAGTAGCGTAGTTCCCTCACTCCCATTCACTCTCTACCTTGTTCTACCTCTGCTGACCTGGGAGGAGGAGCCAACTTTGAATGGTGCATTTACAAAGGAAAAATCACGCATTGTTAGTTTTTACCGCCACAGCTGCAGGGATGACACAGTTTTTAAGTGACTCAGTATGAAGTACCAGCACAGAGAAGTGAAAACCCAGGCCTTGGTTACCATGCCAACCACATCTGTGGTGTACCATAAGCACTACTACTACTTAATCATTTTAGTGCTCTAGTATTTTCCAGTATATATTTTCTTCTGAATGACAGTGCAAAGCAACATTTAGGCTCTCAAACATTAAAGAGTTTGCTCTACCGTGTCCCCCCCTGCTCCTGGCCTGCAACAGGAAACCCTGGAACTCTGTGGAGCTGTTCTTCACCACCTCCAACGTCACTGCAAGTAGACAGCGAGGGAGGTGAGAGGACAGAGGGATTCATGTTAATATGAGACAGACAACATTGGCACATGAGAAATGTGAGTTATTGTGAAGCAAAGGGAGGAGACAATGTATGTGCAACTGGTCCAACAGAGCGGAGTAACACCAACGTATGCTGTTGGCGGAGAAGGGGGAGTCTGAGGTCAGAGTTATGCTGGTGTCATCCACTAACATGACATCTGGTTTGCCTGAAACCATGTGAATGCAGCATAGGTTCTTCTAAACATGACCTATGACCTCTGAGCTCAAAATTCATCCAAATTTCTGGTTTTACACAAACTTCCTACAGTTTGTATGTTCACTGTTTGAGTTCATTGTACAGTAGTTGTTAGTTGTTCTCTACTGTTATTGTTATGCATTAAATATAATATGGAATATACATAAAATATCTCACTCAGTCAGTTTAGTCAATGATAGAAAAGGGCTCTCTTAAGGAAAAGGGGTGGGGACCAGTGTAGTATAGCATAAGTATACTTGTAAGTGAAGTATATATTGGGTTCATAATTATGTAATGCAAAAATACAAAAATGTGCATATACAATGAGTATTACTTATATCTAGAACACGGAGCATAAAGTTATGAGCATATTGTCGTTGTCTGTCCATGTACATTATATCTCCCCTCCTTCGGGGTTATACAATGACATTCAGATATAGTTCCCTTTATGCTACTTGCAAAACAAAATAAAAATTGATAATAAGTCATAAAAATAAAATGAACATACAGACATACAAACATATTCACACATACAGACAATGAGACCCAGGAGAGGATGTAAATATGATACAGTGGCTTCACACAAAGTAAGCAGTAGGAATGCTGCTGCATAAACCCACCTGTAATGACTCCACCAGGCCTGTAGGAGGCACTGGACGTAGACAGTGTGAATGGTGGGCTGCCGGTGGAGGGTGTGAAGGGTGGGTGCATGGGCATCATGTTGCCACAGGAGAGCGCCACCGAGCCGTTAGGGAAGCACACACACTCGTCCACATGCCACACACACACCACCGCTAAAAGCAGCACTGCAACCTTAAGAGGCATCTGCAACAGACCGGAGACAGCGGGAGAGAGTGGGGTCGCTTTATGGCTGCAATGAATGTCCCCGCAACATCAAATACAAACTTTTTCTTTCAGCTGGTGGAATCAGATATTTAACAAATGCAGCAATCAATATGACATCAATATGACACGATCACCAAGGGGAAAAGGGATGGTGTACAGGTGAAGAGAGACCCTCAGAGATCCCTCAGTGATGGGATTTGTAGAAAACAATAATGTAAGAATTTCACAAGAATGTAATAACTCCCAGAAATGCACATATAGGGGCTCAGGGACATGTAGCCCCATCTGGCTTTTATTGAGCAGGTAGTTGTCTTCCTGCAGAGCCAATAACATCAAATGATCCAGAGCCCCCAGTCTGCTTCTCAAAGTGCAGCAAACTCATCTGGGATTATTCTATATGTCCTTATTGTAAACAAATCTCATTAAAAAAAGACCAAAACCATGTCATGTGTTAGTCCGTCTCTCACTACTCTCTGACTTCCTGTCAGTGGCTCTCAGCTTCAAGCTCACTGGTTTCTACTGAAGATGTAAATCTTTAAAAATGAAGTCTCAAATATAAAGTTTAATTTTCTTTAATAAAAAGCTTTTTTGGGGAATGCTCTTTTCCAGATACGCCCTGATCACATTCACATCTGGAAGCTGCCAAATTCAACCAAGGGGCCTTGCTCAAGGGCACCTCAGTGGCAGTAATTGTAAAGTAAGTTCTTGAATTTCCCTCGGGATAAATCTATCTATCTATCTATCTATCTATCTATCTAATAAGCTAGGGGCAAACACTGCCTTTGATTTTATCCACCCAGATTTATCCTGCCGGGGAGTTGAACCCACAACCTTCCGCTCAGCATAAGGGATTAAAATATGGGATATTTCTACACTCAGCCAGGGATTGAACCAGAACTTTATGGTTACAAGACAACCAATATACGAGTTTCCAGATCAAAATTTGACATAAAAAACTACCCCAGGTGGTCAGAATGTTACGGCTGATCGGTGTATAATAATATAGCAGTCACAGCAGACATTTTATACTCGGGAAAAGTACTTTTGCACTTTTGATACTTTATTTGCTGGTAATACTTTTACTTGAGCAGGATTCTGAATGCAGGACTTGTACTTGTATTTGTACATGCTGTGCTGGTATTTGATAGTTCTTCTTCCACCACTGCCCAGTATTACAGTGTGGCTCATTTATGTGTTTTTTATAGATTTTGGGCCACAATGCCACAGAGGAATAAGATATATCAGTGTTGATACATTGCCAGCATTGTCTTTAATGCAATGGTAAAGCTATGACTGAGAGAAAAACTGAAGCTACTTCATTAAAAACTGCAAGAACATTTGACTACACAAAAGGAGAATATGATGCAATAGTAAAAAAAAAAATTACGCCATTAGTACAAACACAAATACAAAAAATAACATTACCACCTTTTAAAACATTTCTGACCATAAAGTTTAACTGAGGAGCTTGAAAATCCCACTTGGAAAACGAATATTAACAATAGAGATTTGAATTTAAATAGAGCACCATATGCAAGCATACAACTTAATCCACATGCTCATCTGTGTTCAAGATAGCATTCTGAATGTTGGCAAATAGATTTTTTAACAGCACACTGAAGCCTGGATGGTAGGGTAAGCATTCAGTAATCTACAACTCTATTTCCACAGCACTCCAGGAATGCGTTAAACGTTTCAGTGCAGTTCTAATAATCACTGATTCATACCCTGTCTGTCTTTTCATCCTCAGGGTAAATGTAAGATGACTTCCTTCCTGTTTGTTTTGAATCTGCCATTTATCAAACATATATTGGATTCATTTCACAATTTGTCAATTTTCATCATCATAGAAATGGTAACACACGGTACACTGTAAAACCTAATGAGTTAGTTCAACTCAAACTGTTTTAGAGAAACCATTCAAGTGTTTTAACTCAGACAATTTAGGCATGAAAAAATATTCAAATTTAGTAACTAAACTTAAGTAACTCAAGAATTGAAGGTAAGTTAACTTGGGTAAATTAAGTTAATTCTACTACTAATTCCCTTCAGTTAATTAAACTTGAAACTAGTAGATGTATTTACATACATACATATGCAGCATTTCTCCAAACTTATTTAAATGTGTTAACAGAATGTGTCAGAAGACTCACTTAAGTGCATCTTCTTTATACAAATTATACCACTTAAGTGCATCTTCTTTATACAAATTATACCACTTAAGTTTTCAGTCCCGTTTACATTACCTGTTGAAACCACTGACGTATGATAAAAACAATTTACAATTAATTGATTATCTTCTCTGGTTCAATTAATTTAATTGTCACTGCTGTAATAAAGTTGGAAACAATAGCCTACCTGTTTTTATGTGACTAACATCTTATTTTTAAACTTCAGGGAATCATTAAGAATCTGGGCATATGATGATTTATAAACTGAAATAAAAACACAAATTGAAAAATCCTAAGCGTTATAGCAATTGAAGTTCACTAAAACAACTGAGTTATTACTTTAACAGAGATGAGATATAAGATATAAGAGAAGATTTAATTAATGGAATTGAGTGACTTGTTTGGAGGATAAAGTTATGTTAACTTACTTCTTCTATTAAGATATGCTGTTCTTGGTTTTGCAGTGTATAAACAGGCTGCCATTTATAATGTAGAAAAATTTGAAAATGAAAAACTGACAAATGAGTTCTAGCTCCGGAATTTCAATTAGACTGACTAACCTAAATGTTAACTTTAGTCAAGTTTGATTTGAACTTCATATATTTTGTATTCTATCTCACAACATAGGAAGTGTTACATTTAGTCTTGTCTCTTACATAGAGCCTGGATCACCTACTCTGCCAACGTTTGTCCAGGTGCAAGTACTTACCTTGTCTCTGGAGCTGCTGCTTTTTCTTGAAGACACACACAGAGGTTGATCAAGGTTCCTTTCTAAAAAAAAATGACAGCTAATATGATAAAATGACAGCTTGATTGTTTCTGAATCTTGTTAACTTTGGAAAATGAAATGAAATCTACCTGGAGGTCCTCCTCTGTAAGCCACAGCGCCTCGTCAAGACTGGCTCAGATGAGTAACTGGTGTGCATTCACCTGTGTGATTTGGTTTCACCAAGGAGCCACCCATTGGGATCCCATCTCCTGTAACCACGACAATGCTGATTGTGCGTTGTAAGAGGGGCGAGGATTCTTAACAACACAACGTTCAATTACAACACTCTCACATACACACACCAGAGGCTCATGTTTCAGATGATAGTGTAATAAGTACCTACAGTTCTCAAGGTATAAAGCCTTGTATCCCCTCTATTTGCATTCCATACAGCCGCAGCTCGAATTACCATGGTTAAGCTGCCAACCATTGAAATTTATTTTCTTGGTTTGTTCAGTTGTTTTGTTCTTCAATAGTCTCCCTTTATATTATTAACCTGTTAATGTACAGTGAAGTTTATCATTTCCTTTAAAGCACATAAACTAGTTGAGTTTAAACATAATTCAGTAAACTAGCACGTTTTTCTTAACATGTTTTCTGTTGTTAGTCACACGCTTTTCCCCAGGAAAACACATATTCTGGATTGTTACAATATAGATTCAAAAAGAAAAATGGTAATGTGTTGATTTTTCGTGGTCCAGTATTTCCACTGTGCAGACCTTAGAGACATTTTATATAGTATTCCTATGGGATAAAATGAGTAACCCCTAGTTATCTGAGCTCCCCTTAAAAGCCCATTTTTAAGGGGTGGAGCCTACCAGCAGGATTTGTGACATCACAAATAGTTAGGAAGTCAGTCCTGGTCCAGTATCAACTTGTACAGTGTGATGTACAAACTTGAATCCACCAGTGCACATCCACTGAGAATGGACTTTACAGTGAAGTAGGAGACATCTTGTGTCCAGCAGGAAAACTTTAGAAAGCAACAACATTTGCATATTCAGAGATTCTGGAAGTCTTAATGAGGTAGAAGTGAATAACACTGATTATCTGGTTATCATGGCTCCTGTCAGTAGGTGGGGTATATCAGGCAGCAAGTGAACATTTTGTCCTCAAAATTGATGTTAGAAGCAGGAAAAATGGGCAGTGTGAGGATTTGAGCGACTTTGACAAGGGCCACATTGTGATGGCTAGACGACTGGGTCAGAGCATCTCCAAACCTGCAGCTCTCATGTTTTAATACATGTCTGGAGGGGATCTTAAACATATAGAATTTTAAAAAGTTCATACTTATTTTTGTGATTTTTAAAAAACCTATTAATGCATTAACATAAAAAATGATTGTGTTGCCACATATCTTGACGTTTCCACAGCAAAGGTAGACAGTTTCTACCTCTGACAGAAACAAATTAACATAATAAATATAATTGTTAGTCATTAATGGGTTAAACGTACCTCATTCACTGTATGTACAGCAGTTTTGTGGGTTAGTCAGTGTTTGTCACCAGGAGGAGCAGCAATCAGAAGTCAGATAATTGTCAAAAACAGCTGATCTTTTATTCTTTACGTGTGATACAGTAAGCAAAAACAACAACAGCAGCTCTGTGGGCTACAACAGGTAAACAACAGTGAGACTGGCAGTGACAGTCAAGTGTACACAGTGTATTGGATAGGTGATGTTGGTATAGTAGCATACTGGTGCTCAGCTGTTTCTGGGTTGTGACGTGTTTGTACTATTCTTCTATTTTCAAGCCAGCAACTCCACTGATGTCTACAGGAGTATAATCAGTCAGAAGTTAATGCTCCTGCAGATGCTACTTTTCACAGCCCTGGCATCGAATTCTACATTTCTCACATTTGACCATTTCAATTCTTTCAGGAAGAAAATTCTTCACAAGTAAAACCGTACCATTTTAAAAGAACATTTCAACATTTTTAGAAATATGCTTGTATCAGCTGTCCCAGAAACACATGAGAAGAGTAATACCATTTTTTAAGACATTGATCATCTAGCTTACCCCAAAGACTGAATGAGAACAAAGACAACAACTGACCTAACTCCAGTGCTGTCTTATTTATAGGTTTAGCTTGGTAGAGTCTGTATGAAGTTTTGTTTATGTTAATTTAAGTTGTGCATACCCCGTAATGAAAACAGTACTCCAGAGATTTTACATACAGTCGAGGCACTCGAAAGATCAAGAAATAACTTGTCAAACAAGTTAAATGTGTAAATAACAGCTTAGGAGGCTCATTTCTGACTATCATAACATCATAACATCCAGGTCTCTGTACTGGACACACTTACACATACTTGTTTTAGTGTGGTGTGTTTTCACCACCACAGATCAATGGAAAAATATAGTTTTACTTCAAATTGAAAATGGTTGTCTGCAAAGGGGCATGAATAAACATTTATAAATGATATAAATGCACCTGTATCTGGAAGGTCCAACTTCTGGTTAGATAGTATAGTGTATAGTGTAGTAACCCACACTATGAAGACTTAAACATTGAACTAAAACATTCCAAGCAATTCTGTGAAATCGTGGTCACAAGACACCAGTCAGTGGATAGATGTAAGAACGTTTCTAAGTCACGTAATATCCTTGATTTCATGAACAAGGAATGGAAACGGTGTGGCACAGTTGTCAGTCTGCCGGGGGAAATACTTGTGGAATTTTTTTTTGTTTTTTTTTAAAGATAATTCAGTATACTGTGATTTAATGTTGTAAGACAATAAAACATGAAAACTTCCAAGGGTGTGACTGTTTATGCTGTATACTGACCTTCTCCTCTCAGCCTGGGGAGGCAAGCATATCGTACAGTGTGTTAAATCCAACATGTTAAGGGGAAACTCCACCAATTTTACACATTAAAGTCTGTTTTCAGGTGTTGCTAGTGCTACTGAATATGTGAAAAGAAAGTTGTTTAAAGACTTTTACGTCTTCAGAGTTTCAAAATGAAAACTATAGCTGCTCCTCATCTCTGCTTGAAGCTGGCTACAATAGCTGCTACTAGCATAACACACCTGAATCTTAGACCAATCTGTCAGCTGCTGAGTTGGATTGTGGGCAATGTATGCACCAGGTTTTGAACAGGAAGAATGTGTGTACTAAAAAAAGACAATATCTCTGGATCTGCTGCACAGTTTTACAGGAGAGCAATGCTAAATGTGGAGTAGTCTTTTAAACTGTTCTAAAGACAGACAGTTTGACTTGTCTGTCTAAGTGGTTGCACTATTGAACCTTTGAACCATTACTAATATCATATTTCAGTGTTGTATTTTGACTTATATATATGCAGTATTTTGACTTCTTTAGACTGCTACTGTTTGCATTTGGTTTATTTGGTTAGTAGGTTAAATTAGTATCAAACTGTCACCTGTGTTGATGTTATAGTAGTCTAGAGGTGGCATAAGCTAGTTCCTACCTCCAGGTTCCTTCACAGTGCCTGGTGGATGTATTAAAAGGCTTTCACTTTTAGAAGGACTGCTAAAGTTTGCTATTTTGTAGGGAAAGTGGGGTCGTGACAATGATCAGCTTGTCACGATGAAGAAATGACTTTGTGATCAGTAAAGTTGGCAGCAACTCTGTTATGTTAGTCAGTCTAGGGCAGCAGGCTGCGTTGTGTCCGTTGTATATTGTGTAAAGTTTTTTTGAGTGGCAGAAAAAAAACTGCATGGCACCAGTAGTACAACCTGACCAATTTTTTCACAGGGATGTGTATGTAGAACAGGTCTGGACCAAGGCTGAGGGGGCTCAGTTGCATATTCTTCCTGTGGTCCAGTCTGTCTGTTGCCACAGTAACAATAAAGCGATAACATAGTCCGCCTACAGATAGTTTTTAGTCTTTGTAACATTTTAATCTTAGCTTTGTCATAACCTATAACCTAAGCTAGATGGTTTCTGTACCTAAACCTAACCAAACCTTAACCACAGTGGCGTAATATCAAAAAAATGGTTTTATTTGTGAAACAGTTGAATTGTTGAAACTCAACTAATATGGTTTTTAAATGTTACAAATACTCAGACTATCCAAATAAAGTGTTACCAATAAAGCTGCCACAGGGCTTTCATCTGCATTGGATGCACCTTTAGTGGAACATAGCATCATAATGAAAAGGTAAGGGAATGGATAGATTACAGATATCCACTACAGGGAGCACTTTTAAAATGGGATGGGAGTTACTTGCAGGGATGGACAGAGGGATGGATGAAGGGTCCTTAAAACGGTGAGAGCGACAGTGAGAAGGACAGGAATGAAGAATGGATGAAGGATGTTTATCAAAAGACTGGTTTGCTCCTTCAGTTAGTCTATCTTCACATTGCCAGGGAGGAGTGAATAGATTTAGTAGAATGCTGGATAAATGAGCATGGCCTCCGTCAGGTGGAGGAGACTTAAGCCTTGTACTCGTGTCATTAAGGCGTTCAGAGCTCTTCTATGCTGTCAGTACTTTAGATAAACTTCCAGTTGTTAAATATTGCTACAGAGCAGAAACTGTGCTTTGTGTGCAAAAACAAGTTTACTGATGACCACTAGCAGTATTTTTGATTGCTTAGTAGTGATGATACTACTACGTACGAAAACAAATATACTTTTAGGAGCATTTCTAGGTGTGAGGAAACCAGATTAAAGTGATAACATTGACAGACAGGAGTTAAAGACAGTGACCACAGGTTGACATCAGAGACCAGAAGAAGAGCTACAAGGTGAATGAACTTCGTAAGGCCTTACATTGCTAGCAGCAGGCTTAAGTGTAGCACCAATATGAATGTAATGTGACCTTTGGTACCAGTGGTTTGTGTTAAGGGGTTGAGGTGAGAGGTTACAGTTAAGACTTCAGGGTCTTGGTGCCTTACAGGACTGGCAGCAGGCCTTCCTGTAGTACCAATGGGAACACAGTTTCACCTTTAGCACCAGGGCACAGTTGGCTGTTGGTTTGTCTTGGCAGGAGTTGTCTGCTGCTACTGATGCTGCCGGAGCTGCCGCTGGATAAACACACAGAAGCCACAAAAAGTCTGAGATATGTTGAAAAAGGAAATGCGCCGTTTACACTAGGGCCTTGCAGAAAAACACTCTGTCACAGTGACGCATGTGGGAGGTAATTTGTCCTCAGCTGATAGGGCTGAAAGTG